CGTATAAAAAAATGTAAAATAAATCATGCAGCTAATGATTAATTAAATAACGGGGTAAAAACTAAAAAGAAATAATCTATACGTATTTAATATCTACCCATATTATATTATTACATGTACATAAATATCGTTCTTATGCTTATAGCCGTGAAGCCATAATCTACTAGGTTATATTAACTTACTTATATTATATTTCTTTCCCAGATGCATTATTTTTTTTTTTTACCTAACATAACCAGTTTCTTTTTAGTTTAAAAACTTATACTGCAGAGAAGAAATGAAAAAGTATTTAAAAACACTATAGTGTTGGTAAAATTCGAGCACATTTTAAAATGATTAACAAAGCAGTATTATTATAAATAATGATTTTGAACTGAACTTTTTTTGCTAACTCATATCTTCGTAGATATTTGCTTTTTAAAATAATAGCTTTATACTATTGTGTTAAGTTAGATAATCTATTATTAGATTATTTCGACAATTATTCTATAAATAATGCCCGAGAGCAAAAATTTACAAAAGTCTGAATCTTAGCCAACGTTGGACAATAATTGTACAATGCAAGTGAAAGTTTAGTAAGCGTTTTTTTGATTCTTTAAAAAAAAAAAAATTTAATTAAATTTGACTAAAAAAAAAAATGAGTTTTTCGAATTGTTTATAAATAATATGAAATTGTTGTTCGATGAAAATTTACACGCTTTCGATCTAATTAAATTAACGATAAAAATACAAACATATTATAAAATTTATTTCTACGGTTAAAATAAAATAAAATATAGATATGTAAACTACATGTCGACGTAAAATAATATTTTAATTTAAATTTCGTAGATAAGCTCTTTCGATTTCATATTTATTGAAATCATTTTGTAAATAATTAGTGTCATTAATGTGAATTTGTGTGATAGGTACTGGTTTAAGTGTGAATTTAAAAAAAAAATTGCAGGTTGGTTAATACACTTAAACACTTATAAGTTATAACCTATACGACTATACAGTTACTTCCATTGAAAAAATGTTTAGTGGTGGAATGAGTGTTGCATAACTATAGGGCTATAAGGCACAATTTTAGTCAATTTTTTTTTTCAAATTTGTGTTTGAACCGATATCGCAAAAATTCACACTAATAACTAGAAAATTAAATATACATTTAAGGAGGGATTTGGCTAATGAAATGCACGTGTTTCAGTTGCATACTTGTGTTATAATTTGTGAATTTCTTTCTTTCAAATAATCTTAAACTGCATTTTGTATTTTAAGAATTAAATCGGAAACTGAAATATATTTAAACTTATCATTCACTCGCATATACGAGTTATTTTCTTTTGAACGATCAAACAATTTTTGACAAACCTGGACACGATTGGCTTTTTGGTCGTCCATCATCAAACGTAGTACAAATTTCGTTGCGATGCGGTGCATTTTTAATTTTTCGGTAAAAATTTTGTGATAAGATCTAACTGATATCCCATACTCTTTAGTAAGCTCCCTGATACTCATACGTTGATTTACCAACATCAAGGTATTGATTTTGTGACAGGTGGGTCGACTGCAGTTGACGTGCAAAGACGTCCATGACACTTATAGTTTTCAATCAATTGTCAACCACCCTTAAAACGTTTTTGCCTCTATTATAGCATGCCGTACGTTTCCTATACCGACATCATCGACCACTAAAGCAATGTTGAGAATAACAAATATTTTTAACGCAGATTTTCTCAGCTTAGCATAAAATTTGACATCAAATCATTGATTCTTCAGGTTATTTATTATAAAATCCAACATAAGAAAAAATATATTTAATATTTTTTATGTATTCCTATATTTATAAACAGTTATTTTTAAAACGGTTTATTAAATTATATGAACACGCCGTACTTGAAAACGATTAAGGTACCTATAGCAAAAAATATAAATTTATGGTAGGATATGTTAACATGTAGACAATTTTAATCAATAGAATGATGGGAATTTAAATAGAAGATATGTTTATATTATATACTAATCTTATTAATTAGTATTTTTATAACTGTTGAAATTAACTGTTTCATATTAACAGTAATGAATAAAATTCACATATTCGTGAAGTACCTATAAATTATTTGAATAATAATACGAGTTTGAAAAAAATGGCTTTTGAATGTAACATGTATCATTAAATTGATTAATATTTTTTATACTTTAAATTCTAGTGTAATTCAACGTAACACTGCTTTTATTGGCGAGTCTATAATTTATAAATATGAGTTTATATTTTATAATTATTATTATGATATAATATTAATATTAATTTGTATTAAATGTTTGCTGTACAAATAAACTATTGTATTATTGTATCTTTTTAATATATTTTACGATGAAATACACTCATTCCGTGTACACAGTATTAACTAAAACACATTCATATTAAAAATTACTAAACGAACATCAGTAATAATAATTTATTATAAGTAGTACGTATACCAGTTTATCAATGTCCTAGATCCGTTAACTAGAATAACTGCTACATTATAAATAGTATTGTAATGTTAAATATTTTTACGAATCGACCATCATACATTGTAAGTATATCTAACACTGATGATTTCATGCAGTAACCCTGGCTGAGTTATGTGCAGGTATGTTTAAATATATAGTATAACCATAATAACGTATATTTTATTTATGTATTATTTCTTCGACAAGTTATAACGGAATTATTTTAATGAGCAACGCATATAATAACAAATAGGTTTATGTAAGTATTATCTATGTAGGTGTATGTACGATAGATTTATGTATATTAGATGTGTATTTTACTATGTATAGTATAAGTATAATGCCATAATCGCAATCATCAAATACACTCAAGGTAAAAATGTAGAAGGTAATGCATTTGACATTCACTTTAGGACAAGACAAATACAATATATAAGATCGTCGTAGATAATAATCAAATAATTATTTTATTGTTTTAAAACATTTCCTTTATATTATTACAACAAATTGATAAACTTAATATGTTTGGCCCATCTCATTTTTTTTTTTTTTTTTGATTACTATCTTATGATTTATAATCTTATAATGTTTTTATATTATTATGATGTACCTATCTATGTATAAAAATAATTTAAAATCTATAATACTTCAAATATTTTTCTTTAGCAGGTATAGTGAATCTTTTGATGTTTGATAATCATAAAATAGTTAGTAGCTTCGCAATAAATTATAAACTATAATAATTACGTATACACTTGGTTTAATTTAATGATATTATTATAATATTATATGCTGTATATATATGTATATATGGTCGTTATACTGCATTTTAGCGGTATAATTAGATATTAAAGCAAGTAACAACTATATTAGTAGGTACTTACTATTTAAAACTTAGAAATAAAATCAATTTCACGAAGAAAACATTACAAAAAAACGTATTTCCAATTAGCCGTCACTTCAAATTGTTAAGCATACGTCTTCGGCTTAAATTTCAAATTCGTCCTAAACCAAAATAATATATATCAATTTCAACCTATAAGATTTTATTGATCTACACGGCTACCCTTGTCAAACAATAAAACTTTTAAAGTGTATCTATTACGGTCAATATTAATATGTATATACATTACTATACAGTCACATTGACATATTGTATAATATTAATGATCATCAGTTTTGTATATTTGAGTTTTGAGTGTTCATCATTTTCAGAGCTATCGAAAACACAATACTATGCATTATATTATTATGTCGGAAAAAAAAGATTGGCAATACAATTTACTGATCCGAATAGGCCAAGCAAGGATTTTGTGCACAGGTGTGGGTACGTGTGGAACGAGTATCGCGCGTATTTTACATTAAAGATTATAATTTAGGTTTATCAACATTTATGAAACGTGCTGTATTACGTTTTTCCAATACAATTTCGAACGTCAACATTTATTTAAATTACAATATCGTTTATATTGCTGCTGTGTATACTAGCTAGTTACTAGCTAGTTATATAAATCACTTTGTGCCGAGAGGTTATTTTATTGGTTTTCGAATTATATAATAATAAATAATAATAATGCATAAGAGGTATTGATTTTTAATTTTATTTATACGAAATACGATCTTCGTACATTTTTAATTATTATATAATTTTGTTATTAAAATATAAAGTTTTTGTAAGACGTTAAATGTGAAATAGACTCGAGTTGAGTGATACCTTTTCATTTCACCACTTTTTTAACATTTAAACACACATAATCCACGGCATATTCATCAATATAATTACTAAAGGTAACTACATTGATATTAATTAGTAGACAAATATGTATATATTGTGTACGTATATAAAAACGCGTAAATACCTAAATTTTTTATTTTAATCTTTTGACGTCAATACATTAAGAAATTAAAATAGGTTTTATCTTATAAATATATATATACTGTTACTGTCTGGTACTGTATGGTATAGCGTTAATAGAACATTATAGTTTATATTTTATTATACATACAATGAGTAAGTATACCTGTAATTTAAATAAAAAATGTTTGTACAAAATAATATATTCAGTAAAGTCAGTTTATTAATATACACATGTAATAAAATATAAACAATTATTAAGGTCTATAATATGTTGCTGTATACACATATTTCTAAGATAAAACAATTTAATTTTTGTAGTACTGACGTCAAAAGCGTAAAAGAAAAAAATTATAGATGTCCACGCAGAAAAAAATATTATCAATACACCACCATTGTTGATAATTCCTATTTGAGTTAGTGAGAAGACGACACGTGAAATTAATATTTCTAATGACGAAACACATAAAATCATACTCGAGAGCCGAGACGATAAGATGTTCTGTAATTTTCATCTACGATCAACCTCACTGAAAAATAATGAATATTTTTAATTTTATTCTTAAATCATTAAATAATCTATAACACATAATATGTCTAAATCATATTACTCGCTTTGTGAGATAATAATTTAATACATATTAAAATTAGCTTACTTCTTTTTGTTAGATTCTATATCAAATCGCTAGTACTTATTATGAACACATAATTCCTATTATTTTTCGTATTTATAAAAATAGTAATATGAACACTTGCATAAGACAAGAATTTGCAGATTCGATAAACTTACTACCTGTAAGCTTAAACAGCTTGTGTTAGTAATAAGGAGTTACATAATTACTAGACCATACAACAGAAATACGTTTAAATATATTTTCATCGATTGTATTTCAAAATGCAAAGAAGTCAAAAATATAATCTATGTATACAAGAGTCGCAGAGTACGTTACCAACAACTCGTGCCAATTACCTATACCTAGTTCTATATAAGTACTGCAAGCTGCTTTTAGCGTGCTGATATAATATGCTGCTAGTATTGCAGCAGGTTAACGCTATCGATGCTACTTGATCACAATACACACACATATATATATAGTTAGGTTCACAGTCTAGAACCAGCAGCCTGCAGGCTTGCGTGATAACGTTTCAGATAGAATTTTAACATTTTTGCCAATCGGTCAAAATTAATTACGAGTAAACCTCCAGCTGATACGCGTAAATAAGTATACGTGTATTTAAAGATATAAAAAATAAAAATTTATATAGACGCCGATAGTAATGTCTAAAATAAAAAAAACACTTCAGTAGAGCAGAGAAGAGAAAATATGAACAATTATATTTTTATTTCGATTGCAACGTAGGTATTATGATATGCACTAGATAAATAGAATATCTCTACTTCACCGTAGGTATATAGTAAATACATGATTATTATTGTTGTTTTTGTTTTCGTCAATCGACGCTCGTAATCTTTCGGGGAAAAAATAGCTCAACTGTTTAAAAACACCGCTCTATAAAAAAACCATTTTAAAAACAGCCTATATAGTCACGAAAAAAAAACCGTCCGATTACAATATGCGTGCGTAATGCGCAAATAAATCCTGTTCGTCGATTAGATATCTTTTCCACGTAAGAAAAAAGATAACACAATCATAGATTACACAGGTGTAAGTACATAAAGTACATCACAATATTGTTTCACAAATAGCTGTGTTTACTTCACCAGCGCCTGATGCACCGCGACTTGTAGCAGGGCGCGGTCGACGTGACGCCGCCTGACCAATGACGTTTGAGTTGTCGGCAAACTTCTGACCGCGGGCAGCTGTCGGGAGGGCCGCGGCCGCCAGGACCCGGTCCCGAGGTCAGTTGCATGGATGCAGTTGACGCGCGCGCCGTACTTGTAGCCGCCATCGCCATATCCGCCTAGTGCGTAAATGTATTATGATTTATAATATAATAAAGAAAAAGTGTAATCAAATAATTTGATATATTAGACCTGTGCAGTATATATATGAATACAAATTTATCGAATAGGTACGTAGATACATAACTATAGTACATTAAAGAACATTGATTGTTTATCGAACATTCGAACAGTATCATTAACACAGTAATAGAACGGCTTAAATTAAAAAAAAATTAAAATCTGGTCTCGTATAGTATTAGAAAAAATATAATTCAGAATGATGTATTTTATTTTATTATTATTTTATTTTTACTAACACACTAAGTAGGGCCCCTTTTACAGCTTATTAGAATTTTTTTTTTTAATATTATAATACATTCGGAAATTTAATTTTCAATATTAAAAGTATATTTTGTACTATGTTTATTCATTTGAAACTTTTTAAATTACATTATCAAAAAAAAAAAAAATTACACCAAATCGATTAATTTCACGCGTTCTATCGCTTAATCGTATATTTTCACCTAAGACCTATTTTCAATTTTATATAATATTTTTCAAACCCCTATTTAAATTTTACTATAGTACGAAATACAAATAACATATGGTTTAGAATTTATATGGTCGACTTTTAGATTTTGAACGAAGCAATGAGTATATTGATTTACAACCATGTGTATTTTTTTGTGCCACTTTATCTAGTAAAAAAATACTATGATAATCAACTTTGAGATAGGTCTCTTTTTGTAGTGAATTGGATTTAGTTAGTATTCTTGGTAGGTCAAAATTAAGAATTTTCAGTCTTCTTTAAAATAATTAGGAAAAGAAAAACATACAAACATTTATTAAAGTAATTGTTTAGTAACTTGAGCATACATTATATATTTGATTTTAAAATTTCTTTCATAAAATGTTAAAATTTTTATTAAGCGTATTTAAAATCTATTTTTTATTAATAGATATAAATATAAAAGTGCTCGTTTAACATATTTACATATTTTATAAAGTCCATTGATGTAATACTGGTTTAAAATTGAAGCAGTCGGGATGACCAAGATGACTGACTTTATCGTTGAAATCTGATTTACTCCAACAAAAAGGTCCTAAACTGTTGTTACTTCCCTGAGTGGGGCCTGCAATGGCTTTAAACTTCAACTGTTGGAATAGTTGGCTCGTAGTAATTTTAACGTCAGTGGCTCCGTGTGACCGATGACCCAATGCTTCAATGGGATACGTACCGTTTTTAAAATTTAAATCGTTTCTGAAAAAAAAATTCACACAACCCTTATTATCATACAAAAAACTCTGTAACTAAATAATCACGAAAATAAAAACTTTTTCATTCAACCATCAAATACCTAGCAGATATCGCGTTTTCCGCTGAATATGGTGGACTGCAGTCGCACCGAGATTCTGGATCACGTGTGAAGTTATTGGACCGCATCAGATGTAACATACAATTGTCACAGTGAATCTTTACATGGTCTCTGGCAAATATGCGAGCCCGAGGTGTGTTGGAGTACGAGAACCTTTAATCGTAAATTATGCTGACATCATTAAAAATCGAATCTTCTGTTGCACAATTAAGAAAATATACACCTACACAGGTGTTGTAGATATGTATTTTAATATTATATAATATATATGAAATAAGATTATAATATTATGACTTAACATAAAATTATAACTTATATAATATTACTTCTATGCTAGATGCTTACTAACTTATAAGTAGGTACTTGCCATTTGGACTATTTTTACAAAATAATTATAAAATTATAGTTTATGATAGATAACAACATTGACACTGCTATAATATAATACATCATCAGCTATTATTATTTTTAAATCATAGTCCAATAATGTTTCCGTAGCTCAATCAATGAGGGAGGGGATTCCTAAATTTTAAATTGTGATTCAATGATGGATTGATCTTTAAATATAATTTATTTTTTTTCTTATATAATCAAAGAAGTAAAAAAAATTTAGAGATTCGTTCAATTTGGTTATTATTTTTTTCATATATTGTCTCCCTTTATGATTAGAAGCTCGAATCAAACCTTTTACGTGTATTTGAATTTTTTAATAGTTCCAAGAAGATAATGTTGTTTACAAATAGTTGGCACTTACGTATGTACTTGGATATATCAACATTTATATCAATATTATCGAGAACGCATTTATACTATTAAAAATGTACGATATAGATCACGAGATGCACTAACCTAACCTTGCTCCATATAGATATTAAAATGTGCATACAATAATTAAGAGTTTCCAAAATTGGCATAATGTAAATTTTTATTTACCATGAGCCGTAACGTTGTTCCATGTCGTAGTTTCCACTTATGTTGAATATAAACGGAAAATAGGGCACGTTGTAGCTTGCCCAGTACGTCCGATTGCTTAAATGATCAGTGAAATCATCGTGTATCACGTGACCAGGCATCTGTTCGAGGACGTGGAGTACGTCTTTGGAAGGCAAGGGACTTCCCGGTTGAAAGGCCGCATAGTTGACGATCATCCACTGATTGTTGTACGTACCGCTATTGTGAAGCTTGAATATATCCACCCAATTTGTGGGGTTGTCGGCCAGGCGATTTGCAATCATTGCTCGCACAAATTCTAAAACCTATATTTTAATCATTATTACTGTTATTATATAATACCATAGATTAAATATATATATTAAGTTTATTTAATCTATAATAATACGCTCCATAAGACTACGACAATAAATAATGCGGGTGTGGCAGTCTTTTTACGAATATTTAAAGTAATTCTATGAGACGTTTTTAAGGAGCTTAATATAGGCAATTATCTAAATACTTCCGTATGTAGTAACTAGTAAGTTACCCGTCCTTAGTATGTAAGGCAATATTAACAAATTAATAACGCGCTACACATGAATATTAGTTATTTTATAATTTTTGTGTACATTTCTAAAGTACCAATTATATTTTACCAATTGTATTAACTTATCTAGTTAATCGATGAAATTTCTGGAAACGATTTCAAATTTATCTAGAAAACTTCTAAAGTAGTTGCTATATAGTTTGTTTAAAAATGAAATTTTAACATTTTAAAATTATTTTTTTCAATTCAATATTGTATTAAAATTTCAAAATTTTTAATATCCAAAATGTTTAAATCAACATTAATTGAAAAGTTCAGTATTAAACATTTCAACTTAAAAAATGAAAAACAATTTTTAAGTTTACTTCATGGTGATTTCAAATATGTTTTCAGAATTTAAATTTGATCACGTTGATAGTCAGTTCACTTGACATAAGATCGGTAGGTTGCAGAGTAGGCACATTCTAATATTATTTATTTTCAGAACTTTTGTAAGCATTCTAACTCTCGTAAATTATTCAGTAATATTTCTTACATACCATATATCTTTAAATATAATTGGTATTAGTTTAATTCAGTTATTCGAAACATACGTATTATACTACCTATTATAATGTAAACTGCAACAAGAAAGAGTTATATCAAATAAATAATATAATTAGTAATAATAAGTGAGGTTCAAATGTATTGTGCTCGATTGTAAGCGTAATCTATTCAGAGTTTGAAATATAATTGATAGCACCTTAAATTTATTTTCGAGTGAATTATATATTTTCTATACACATTTAGACTAAAAGAGCAACAAACATTAAAGTTTACGCCAGATGAACCCCAAAAGCAAAATAAATACCCCTCAATTAGTTATTAAGTACCTATATTATGTACGTATTTGTAATTAGTATTTAGTAGTATGCAATGTTAATATTATATTGATATGCTTTACAATATAAGTATTTGCAAACTTTTTATTTATACAGAACCTAATGGCCACTGATCTACTAACAAACGATAAGCAACCGATCCAGATTAGAAATATATCTTTGTCACAAGTCTTTAATAACGGAATGATCTCAATAAAGGATTGAAGACATAAAATATTAATTGGATGTATATGTATATATGTACCTGACCGACTGGTTTCACGTTAGACCAAAGGGAATTGTTATAATTTTCGATAGTAGTCTCCAAAGTGGTCAAACCTGAAGACATCAGGTAAAAATCATCTCCGGATTGAATACCACCCGGGAACGAACTGAATGACATATCAAACCCACGTATTAGTTTATTGGACGTTTTGCTCTTTCTAAACCGTAGACTATACCTCTTCTGTATTCTCAACATTGTTTCGTACCTGGAGAGTGCAAGAGATTATTAAAATGATAAAATATGTCGTATAACGTCTACGTTTTATGTACTTCGTACACTTATGTAAAACATCAAAACAATTTTAAGGTATATATATGGAAGATTTGACAGTATTACTTATTAAAACCAAAATCATTTAAATTGTCTAATCCTCTAGATACGCCTTAATATAAATTGATTATAAGGTTTTATTAAATTGTAATGATAAGTTATTATTTCCGTCGTGTTTACCCGCTCCACGTCACATGCGATACGAATAGGTCTTTGTTTCCTGGCATCAGCTTGATAAGAGCCGAGCATGATCCACTTCCTAGGATACGGTGACTAGCTCCTGATGGATTTAAAGCCACAGATAAGTCACCCAAGTCGTCGAGGGCGTTTAACCAGCTATAATAACAAACACACACATATAAGACAAAATAATTTTAAAATGTTTGTGTAAATAATGTGATTTACATGAAAATTTTACCATTATCTTACTGTATGAAAATAATATTTTTTAATTTATAATGTATGAAAATAATAATAATCTCACTATAAATCGTCCCAAGTCAAATCGGGCGTATCGGGCGACTTGCCTCGCATATATCCATCGTACAACCCATCAAGTTGTTTGTAATATAGTCCGATCTACAAAATATAATATATTGTAATAATCGTTTAAGACGCAATGTAAAGGTAATGAAAAAAAATAATGTACCTGGTACCAATATGGGTCGGACTCATTTGATTTCGATTTAATCCAGTTTTTATTGGTTGACATGTAATCTTTTAATTGTTGGCAGACCTCCAAACGGTCGGTGCAATAGCCTTTAGCCGTGTTAAACCAATAGCTATATATGAGATCAGCGGTTAATATTCCTTCCAAGTATCCGGCACCATAAGCTTGATCTTCGTCTTTTGCTTTTTGTGAAGTCCTGATCTCTAAATAACCCCATCTATAATTTTGTTTTAATTAAGTCGCAACAATATCAATCAAAAATATGAAAATCAATAAATATCATAAAAATAAATACTTTAATTATTACTAAAATAAGTCTTCCTAACCTTGAAATAAATTACTTTACTTATATGCACATTAGTGAAAATCGGTATTATTATATTATGCAGTACACTAGACTATAGACACAAGATGTAAGTCATTTACTTTACCTCTAAAAGGTTCCTTTTTCTACTTAATGAAAAACGGCTTAAATACAAATTTCCAAAAATAAATATTTTTTTGTTCTAAATTGTATACACCAGTTTATTATATTATTATGAAATGATCGTTTCATTTCGGTCCTTATTGCTTACACATATAAAAAATATTACTTAACCAGCACTTAAGACTTATTCATTCTTTAATTTCATATTAAAATTAAAAATAAACTTACATTGCATAAAATTCTACTAAAAACAATCCGTTTCTTAAACATAAAATTCTGTAGGTGTATGTATAGAGGAACAGATATGTTCCGTAAAATATTGATTCACTACAATTCGCTCGATGATTGTATTAACTTGAAATACTGTTATAACTAATTTTACTCATTCAAAATCCTGATGGATCGAAGTACTCGAAAAGTTTCAAAAATATTATGCTTTAGACAATTTTAGACAATGAAATTATAAATGTATGTTGTCATTCAAAAATATAAAAGAATATAATATTTTTCAAAAATTAAGTTTTGCAATGTCGTCAAATTACATAAAAATGTGTTTAAATAAAAATTAAAAACTTTTTGAAATCATTAATTTAGACACTTATGTGGATCAACCTATATTTTCAGTTATAAAAATATAAAAAAGAATATTATTATCGACCAAAATTCCAATAAAATAATATTTCATATAATGTAGTAATATCATAATGTGTAATTTATAATATAATGTTAATTTAAAAATCAATTTCTTTCATACATCTTATCTGTTGAAAGATTATGGATTTAAATAAAAACTATATATGGTATTTTAATTTTAATATATGTCAAGTTTTGTCGTGGTTTTTGATTAACAATATTTCTTTTAATATAGTTTTCTAAAAAATTAAATTCTCCACAAATACAGAATACAAAAGAAAGTATAGATTTGAGAAAAGTTTAAAATTTATTTGATTTTTGATGTAATCGTAATTGAATGATTATAGTTTGATATTAATAATTTTTTCTACAATTTAATTAACTTGTTATAGAAAAATAATTTAAATCCGAGAAAAAGTATTACATGTCATGGCAGTCAGACAAGCTTTGACTTATTAAACAATTTTTAATTACTAATGTTTACGTTTATGATTAAAATTAACAAATGTATTTAAATATCCCTTTTTTTAATTTAGTTATTTTTAATTTCTGGAAATGTTAGAATTAAAAATTAACTCCGTTATTGATGATACAAAGTTGTAGTTTTTATAACTAGAAGTTAATAAGATTTCCTTAAGTTTTAGTTCCGATCTTTTAAATATTTCGTTAATTTAACTCTAAACTCTACTGTAAATTTGATATTTTTAACGATTTTTATGGAAAAGTTGGTATTAAAAAAAAAGTTTGATTTAAACGAACTCCGTCTGTTTTATAAATTACCAACTAAATCATTAAATTAAAATAATAAAAAACTTAACCAACTATAACTCAGTCAATTTTAACTCGATTTCAACAATTGATAATAATAACAAAAAAAATATTATCAAAATAGTTATTTTGATAGTTTTACAAAAATAATTTTTTTAATTTTTCTGTAAATCAAATAAAAAAAAAATACATTTAAAATTATTGACTTTCCATGGTGATCCCTTATTATAGAACGTTACGCAACTTAAGGGGCATATTTTATGATAAATATGTGATGTTGATGTGTATTCATTGTTATTATATATTATTGTGTAGTGGCGTTTGTATGATTTAAAAATATTTAATTTGTTAATATGAATGAAAATGCTTAATACAAGTTTAAATTTAATTCCATGTATCATTAAAACTAAAAAGATTCATGAAATGAAAAAATATTACATTCACTCGTATAAATACAAAAATAAAAAAGCAAAATCTTAGTCACGAATAATAAATTATAAAATAAAAATAATATATTATCGTAATTTAACGAACATATTTTTATAATAATTAGAGTTGTTTTTAAATGACCATGCTATTTAATATTTATTTAAAACGGCTATGAAAAATTAATAAATTTGTTTTATGTTTATATTAAATATCTGCTGCAATGTATACATACCCTGTACTGTTGATCCTGTCGATATATTTGGCTTTACCGATAATTATCTCTTTGGATTTAACGATGTAAAGTTTAGGCTGGATGGTTATTCGATTGTTCTCCTTTTTCACTGCTAACAGCGTTTGATTTTTCATTATAGCTGAACACTGTAATGCCCAAACGGACAACAATGAGAGAAGTATACATCTTATTGACGACATTGTTCTATTGATACTAAACAAATGCGTTGTAAATTAGAAATTAACGACTCCCATAATGGTCAATGACTTTTGATCTATTTGATAATTAAATTAGTAGTTATATAAATGACTAATGAGTATTATGATATTATATAAGATGTTTCGATCTAACATAAGTTGTATCTAATATAACGTTGTAAAGTAGCTATAAACTATTTGTAAAATAAAACAAAAAATGAGAAAATATTATTTTTAATAAGTACCTAATTTTATACTTTCTAGTATTAAAATAATATGTTTTAAACATTAAAAATTCAAAAATTTGTGAAAAAATTGTAGTTTTTTACATGATTGAGATGTATTTTTATTTGATGCACAAAGACCATTTAAAAATGAATGAAAGATAAATATTTTGAAAAATATGACTATAATAAACCTATACATTTTTTATGCATACAAATACAATTAAATATATATATATACATATATACATATTATTTTGATTAAGTCCATTTAATTTATGTATGTAGATGCTATTAAATACATTATTATTTATTTATTTAATCAGCGAATACATTTCTATAAGTACCCAATACTGTATAATAAAATATAAATTATACTTTGATCCCAATTATTTAACATTATGCAATGAACCAAAAGTAATTATTATTATTATTGTCTGATGGTTTAAAAAAAAAAATTTCATGAAAATAAAAAGTTTTTTATACTTTTAATACTAATTAACTCTTTTCAATAATATTAATTTAAACTTCATTATAAATTATTTACTAATTAAATTTAATACATATTTTATATACACATGAAGATTAAACATCATAAATTATAACTTATATAAAAGTATTTATTTTATAATATTATTTTTATGTTTTTTTGTGGAATATAAAATATGAATAAACATTTTGATTCATAAATTTTAACAAGCATTATTCTTAAAAATAAACAAAATAATAAATTCGTTACATTAAAAAATTTACATTGTCATTTTTTTTAGTTTTAATTTAATATTTTGTGCATATTTCAAGTGGGTAATTTTCGGTAAGTAGTTATTGTTAAAATATTTTTAAAAAAGTGACGTAGTTTTCTTATCAAATATAACAGGGGTGGCCAACATGAATAGGTTCGCGGGCCACATAGATAAATACAATGATATCAAGAGCCAATATGATTATATAATTTAATAATGTTTTATAAGCTAATACCTGAAAATTAAAATTCATAACAATATTAAGTACATTTTGATTTTGTAAATAAGACGCGAGCTGCATCTGACAATGACGAGAGCCACATGTGGCTCGCGAGCCGCAAGTTGGCCACTTATAAAATATAACATTGATATAAATATATTAAAATATTAATAATTAATAAGTACAATAAATTCAATAAAATATAGATACCTATAAAACAATAGAAAAATAACAATAATAATATAAAATTATAAAAAATATATGTCTAAAAGTTAGCAGCACATAATGTATATATATTATTTAAGTTATAATATATTGTTATTTTTTTTTATTTATGTAAAAAAAAACTTCATTTGCAAAACAATTAAAAATAAAATGTGTATAGTGCATATCTAGTTTATAAAGATCAAAACTATAGATAGGTAACTATAGATAACTAATAAATTCACTTTCCATAAATATGACAATATATATATTACTTTACATAATATTATAAACGTATCAGATTCTACGCTAAGTGAGGGAAAGAAAGAGCTGAAGAAATACTAGGCAAATTTGGACGTTATCCATATTATAGTAAAAATAAAAAAGAAGAAAGTATAAGAATGATAACACTACAAAAAGGTGATAGGGGAATAGACAATCAAGAAATTATGTAAACAGAGAGGTTAAGAAAACATAAGAAATTTGATTAAAAGAACAATGTAAGGAAATCGAGACACTTTTTTAAAATGAACAGAACAAATTAAACCTACCATACGATTTTAAACGTGGTTAGAAATAGAAAGCGAGATGCTAAAACTATTAAGAAAAAAGATGGTAAGTTGCTATTTGATGACATTCAGTTAACAAAAGAGATGAAAAAAGCACCTTGAAGAACAATTCCAGATTATTATTGTAATAATATAATAAATTGTAACTATCCCCAAAAAACAAAAAACAAATACGTATAACCAATATTTAAAATACTGAGTTTACTTACACATGCATTAAAAGATCTTATAAAAATTATTAATCGACGTGTTAAAAGAAAAAGAGAAATAAATTTTAAAAATGATTAATAAAACTTTAGAAATTAAATAGGTACAAGAGAAACATTACTTAGACTTTGAGTGCTCATTGCAAAACAGATTGAAAGGAACAAAATCGCATACATAATATTATATAGCTTCCTAGATTTAGAAAAGGCATTTGATAATGTTAAATAGAATATAAAGTTTCAAATATACTACAAGAAATAGGATTTGAACAATAAGACTTTAAAATACTGCACTCCTAATATACACAGCAGACAGCTGAAATAAAAAAAAAATAATGCAAAGATAAATAAAAGAAGTGCGACAAGGTTGCACTCTCTATCATCTCCTTTATTAAACTATTATATAGAAAAAATAACTAATATAGAGAAGAAAAAATGAATAAAAAAGAAAATTAGAAGGAATATTATTTCTATGGTACGGTTTTTTGACTAAATAGTAATAACAACCTTGTATGGAGAAGATATATTGTGTTGTTGTAGGCTATATAGAAAACTAAAAGAAATGGCGAGTGACCGCGAAGAAAAGAAAAAAAGAGTTACAAACCAACTTACGGTTCGAAAAAAAAATATTTTTAATGATATCCTTATTATTATAGGTATACTACTGGAACTTACTATTACTATGTTACTGTTTTTTAACATTTTATATTTTTAAAGTGTAACTTTTTTGATTTTCTTTCAACTCTCTGGTTTTAAAATACCATCAAAATACTAATTTTTCTCGTATATACTTTTACTAAATATTTAAATTACTTACTATTTAATTTACTTAAATATATGGATACACATTATCAACAGCTAAATTACGATGTCATTTTAAATCACCTATCAAGTAAAAGCAAACTAGAGCGATCAGGCTTATTCCACCTCAAAAAAAAAACACATCCTTTAAAAATCAAATTATTCATTCATGGTTTAAAACTATTTTTCATCATTATTCGATAACACAAATTTTTAGTACATAGTATCAACTTTACCTAATTATCTAACCTAGATTATGCTTCCCCCAAGATTTAAGCTCTAGTTTTGCCACTGCCACTTATGTAATTTAGGCTTGAAATTCCAACAGTCGGGTAGTCCGACGTGGCTGATGTTAGCCGCGTGTGATTTACTCCAACAGAACCCACCAAGACGTCCTCCGGTACCCCTAGTCGGACCGGAGACCGCCAAAAATTTCAATTTCTTAAAGGTCATGTGACTCGTTACTTTGGCGTCTATAGCACCCTGGTTAGAATAGCCAAGTGCCTCAAACGGGTACACTCCGTCTATGTCGTTCAAATCATTCCTGAAAAACCCAATGACACTAATGAAAATCGTAGTTCAACAGGTGTAATATTTTTATATTTAGTATATTTAAATTCTAGTAAATGGATTTTCATGGGAAGTCAAGAGCATTCATAATAGAATAGTGATAAAACCAAACTGCCAATTGGCGGCGAGAGATGGATTGTGTACCAGTGGCATTCAATATTGCGTGGACAATACGAATAGATTTGTTACAAAATAGAATCGTATCTCAATGTACACAATATAACTTGGGGCATAACATGCAGTAATTATTAAGCTTCAAAGCAAAACCGTAGTCGTTTACCTGGACGAAATCGCATTTCCAGCCGAATACGGAGGAGCACAAGACTCGCACCTAGACTCTGGGTCATTTCTGAAATCATTGGAACGCATCAAGCGCAGCATACTCGGCATGTCCGTCACATCGACATGATCCCTGGCAAATATACGAGCACGGGGTGTGTTTCGGTATGAAAACCTATATCGATATAGGAAAAAAATGGAAGCCAAGATTAAGAAGACGCTATACTCACATGAGGTTTTCCGCGGAATCTATTTTATGTTATTAACTTTAACATTACAGTTAATTTACTTATTATCAAACTTAAAAGTAAGAATATTATTTAAGGAATCACGTGGACTTTTATTGTTTATTATATTTTTATTTTAAAGTGAGTTATGAGCATTTAAAATTTTTTATATTTTAAATACCTATAACTCACTTGAAAAATTAAAATACCAATAAAAGCCCATATGATTTCCTATGTAATATTCTTGCATTAAAGTTTGATAACAGGTAAATAAATTGACTCTTATATTAAAGCTAATGTCATAAAATGGATCCTGTTGATTGCAAATTTGCTATGATGTGCGTTAGTAAACTGAGATAACGCATACGAGTATGACGTGCATATACTGCATAAATATTAGATAATTTGGTTTATATACAATGAAAATATAATATATGTGCGTGAGTGATGCAACAGCATAATTTATTTTATGCACTTTCGTTTCTCTTGTTGAAATACTGTTACTTGCAGTTGATCATATGAAATCCTGATAAGGAACAATCGGAAAATCAATAAATACATTTTAAAATTGTTTATAGATATTGTGATAACTATTGGTTCCAAAATACATTTCAAAAACTCAAAATCACCCTAATTTATTGAGTCATAAGAAACTGATAATCTAAACGCCATTGAATTTTTACGCTGTAGTGTCGCACGCATATATCTATACATATAATGTTATAAATATGCATAATCTATATTATAATATTATATATTATGTGTGTGTACTATGTACACGGTGTATATATATATATATATATCAAAATGATGCTACCACTGAAATTTCTATTATGTATTTACATTTTCAAAATATCAATTACACTAAATACACACTACATTTTTAAGAGTTTATAGGGTAGCATGGGTGTCACTGAATTTTTCGATACTTTTTTTCTTAGTAAAATAACATAATAAAAACGTTTAGACGTGTAATGTCTAAAGGAAAATGATTGGTTCAAGAGCGTACAGCAATACAATTTTGTTTTTCCAGTTTTATTTTTCAAATCATATTTCTAATTTTTAAATATATGATCTGTATTTAGATATTGGAGTGTAAAAAGTGAAAAATAAATATATTGATAAAATATTTATAGTTGGTCTTAGTTGTATTATGTTATGTGTGATAAGACTTATTGATTTCTTATAAAATATAGTTAGAGTTTATCTTTTTATAATTTGTATTTATTAAGTGTATGAATTAAATTAAATTTAGGTGTGACTCGTTTAAGCTAATTTCTACAATTTTATTATCAAATTTAAAATTAATGAGCACACTTTATACTTTTACGAAGTTGTACAGTTATTTAGTTGCTTTTGAAAATTAAAAATAATTAACGAAATATTGTTGGAGAGATAGAGTGGGAAAATCCATCTTTATAAACTGTTGTGGATTTCTTCACTCCTTCGTATGGTTAGCCAAACATCATATGTGGGCAGGATTTTGGTCTAGGCCCATGAGATCCGGCTCTGCCTTTATATATATTGTTGCAGCAGTTACCTATATCGTTATCGTTACAGCAATATTGTTGCGAAATATATCCGTCTTACCAATTTCCATATCGCTTCACCATATTATCTTGACCGCTGGCCTCAGATATCGCCTGTAAAAATGGCACGTTGTAGCTCGCCCAGTACGTCTGATTCATAAATAGCTCGGTCACGTCACACGTCTCGACCAGTCCAGGTATTTGTTCTAGCACGTAAAGCAACCCTCTTCGGGGCAATTTACGACCGGGTCGAAACAGCGAATAATTAATTACTAGCCATTGGTTGTTGTACGTGCCACTGTTGTGTTGCTTAAACAATTTCGTCCAGGCCAATCCGTCGGACGCAAGTCGGTTCGCTACCATCGCCCGAATGAAAACCATCACCTTTGTCATATAATTAATAAATATAAATTTATAATTATAGGTAATATTACACTTTTTTTAGCGCATATTTATTCACATATTTTTCGATATTTATCTGTAACGCTATATATAAAGGCCTTTTTGTCATTTTTTACGATTTTAACTGAAAATTTCAATTTTTTCTAAATATTTTAATATACAGAACGTTGGATCATGCATTTTACACTTTTTGTATTGAGCGCACGTTTTTTTAATGTATATGATTACACGAATTAATAAAATAAAATTTTAAAAATACGATTTTTTTTCTTGGTTCATAACTTTGAATATACAGCCCTCTAAAGTTAATATATTAATTGATTAATAGTTTTAATTGAAACAATTCTATTATATAACAAAAGTAAATTGTATTGATATCGTAAAAGTCACGTCAAAATTATTGTTTTTTATAACATATATTTTATAAACATTTTTATAATACAACAATCATGATTTTATACACTATACCTATCTATCTATATTCTATATAGTTACATAAGTATAATAGTACCCACAAACCTACTAAATTACAATGGTTCGAGCTGTACATGTTTTGTAATATTTAAATATTGTGCAGTCATTATATTTATATACCACGATTTATAATAAATCAGTTTTTGAATATAAAATAATATATTTTTTATCTCTGTAATCGTTTGTACGTTTTATTGTGAATTTCACCAACGTATTAAAAATACTTAAATATGTTTTATATTTTATCACTCGTGGTACAGAAAGTGGGAAGTTTAAAAATGCAAAGTATTTAACAATTCTGAAACCTTATTAATTCGATTACGTGCAGATAACGAAAATCTGTATGCACCTTGTACATAATAATATAATATCTACATTATTTATGTGTATCATTGTATTATGCAATTGTACATCATAATATGGTTCAACATTTACGACTTTTTACAATTACACGTTGTATTTATCTCTAACCTGCCCAACTGGATGAATATGAGCCCATAGCTGTGGATTGTAAACTGAAATAGTGGTTTCGGTAACTGCTAAACCCGAAGAAATCAAGTAAAAATCGTCCATCGAATATAGAAAACCGGGATACGAACTAAATGTTATATCGTGTCCAAACACTAGTTGGTACGACGATTTACTTTCCTTGTAATTAAGACGATATCGCTTTTGTATCCTCAACATTGTTTCGTACCTACACAATACACACGTTTAATAATATTAAAACACGTCTAATAAAATAATCACTAAGATCTCGAAAGATAATAATACTCATAATATATAATAGCATAATATAATCAAATTTAGGTACCAATTTCCAGTTACGTGAGAAAAGAACAACTCTTTGGATCCAGGTAGTAATTTTACAAGAACTGAACACGATCCAGCCCCAAACGGTTTTTTATGAGGGTGCGAAGAATTAAAGGCATCACATAAATTAAATAAGTCTTCTTGAATGTTCATCCAACTTCAAAATAATAACAATTTCGTTTTTGAATACAATGTAATTTTAAAATGTCATAATAAATATTAAATTATAAAAATCAATAGCAGAAATCGAAATAATATATGCTCACAAAAAATGTTCCCATGTCAAAGACTGCATTCCTTCTTTTGTGTTTAATTTATATCCATCATACAACCCGTCGAGTTGCTTGTACACGAGGCCAACCTTTAAACATAAGACTCGTTGTACACAATATGATGATAGCTACAGTCTTCCGCGTTAAAATCCAATAACGTCATATAAGGAGTATTATATTATAAATTATAATTATGTGGTACAAACTTGATGCCAATACGCGTCCGATCCATTTTTCTCGATCACTTGGGACATGACCCAATTTTTATTAGTCTGCAAATACTCGCCCAGTTTCACACATAAATCTGCTCGACCATCACAGAAATTTTGAAAAATATTATGCCAATATGTGTTTATTAAGTCAGCAGTGATGTATCCTTCCAACAAACCAGCAGCATAAGCTTGGGTGGCGTCATCTGCTTTGATAGATGTAAGTATTTCTAGGTAATCCCACCTGAAAAACGAATATTTTCAATATTTTTACTCTATCTGTCTAAGTATATTTTGTAGGCGCGCATCATTCCGGAAGATAAAATTTTCGGCATTATTCTCAGTCGATAGATACGTCTTATGCAATATTATGCATACAAGAGTTTAATTTTAAGAAGAAAGTAAAAGTTTTAAAGAATTTTTCCCTAAATAATAAGAAAATATTTTTTCAAAATTAGTCAGTAATTTTATCGACGTTATGTAAAATACACATGTTTCAAGTGTAACTAACAATAATTATTATTGATTTGCTTTAATAATCGAAATAAATCAAAATAGTACCCATTTACTAACGTTATGACTTGTGGTCTGAAGTACTTGAGTAAAAACATTTGAGTATTCATATTCATATTATTTTCCAAGAATTAAATAAGTTTTTTAAATATAATACGTATCAACAAGTATTTTGAGTATATTTTAAATACTACTTACTGTTTGACTACATTAAATAATGCTTTTTTTAATACTTTTTTCCAATTTTTTATTTACAATATTTTAAATTTTTGTAAAAACAATGATTACTTATAAAATCTTATCGTATTAGTTTTACATAGTATGTCGTTGCTTAGTGCTTATAACTGTAGTCTAATACTAGTTATGAACAAATAGTGTTTTTGAGTTACAATAAATATTTACATGATACAATACTGATATAACGATGCATTATAATTTTAATTCGTATTAAGTTATAAAAGTTTTATCAATAAAATGCATAAATCTTGATAATTATTTAAAATTTAAATATATTAATATTAATTTTATAAACATTAAAGTATGACAACAAAGTTCCTTAAGGTAACTACTAGAATTTACAATCAATGTAACTACTTACTATAAAAATACATTAACTATTAATTATTATTTTTAAATACCAACTATTTTGTAAGTAATTTAAATGTAGTTGTAAAAACCCTTGCTTTGCTGGTATTTAAAATTAGGAAAAGTGTGATAAAAAAACACCATCATACCTGAATTAATATAAATTACTGATTAATAAAAAAGAGTGCCTATCTAAAATTTGTCTCTAATACATAAATACGAGTACTTCTTAGAAATATTTGTTACAGTAGGTACTTCCGTTAGCCCAGCATGACTTCATAAACCTATTATATCACGATATCGAAAAAACTTTATACCTTTTTTAACACTCACCCCGTAACGTTTATACTCCGACTGTAACTAGCTTTACCGACGAATCTGCCGTCTTCCGTGTTTTTAATACTAATATTACCGTCGTCGTCGGCGATGGCGTAAAATATCTGGTTCGGGTTATCGCACGAGCACAGCTTTGGCAGCATCGCGATGATCGCAATCGACACAATACTCGCGACGATCGCGTTGTTTTTTACAGACATTATGAGTAAACGATTATTAAACGATTATCGCAGTACAAGTGTGTAAATATAATGCTTGTACAACGAATGCCATCGATGACCAACCAAACGGATCTGTTGCTGTAGCCGCAAGCCAATACCTGCAGATATATAATCTGTGTAATATTATGTATCAACACTAATTATAAGTATATCAACAGGTATGTAGGCACCTGAACAATTTCAACGTCGTACCCCCGTCACAATATATTATATTCTTTTAATAATAATAAAAATAATTAATACCATTGTGAGTTAAGTTAGTTCCTAATATTTGTATACATACACGTGTGTGTGTGTGTGTGTGTGTGTTATTACTGTCAATAACAACAGTGCATACATATATATATAACATGATATTAATATTGTTATTGTAAAAACATTAATGACACGAATTAAAAAATATATATATTAGGAATATTGTGAAGTAGTTTTTATGAGCTAATTTACGTTACATATAAAGTGTATCTACTTTTACAATACAGTATATTATTACGCTTTTGTATAGGCAATACAATCAATTAGTATGTATAGAATATACTTTGTACCCTAATAAGAAATCAGTATTATTAAATAATCAATGGTATTTATTCTTTTGTATTTGTGATTTTATTTCTTCGTTATTTTTATTATACTTGTGTTTAATTACAGTATACTTACGCAATAAAGTGATATTAGTCAATCATTTTTTTTTTACGTTTAATTATTATTATTATATACATTTACATTGTTTTAATATTTTCCTAACAATAATTATATACTTATATACTAACCATAATGGTGTATTATCGGTGTAGTTAATTTTATTACAAGTATTATGCAACAATTTTATATTATATTAAAACTAATTAAACTATAATATATATTGATATATGGGCATAATTTTTGTGTGTGGGTTACTGCTATGTATATGTATTGACGTGTTATAATACTATTGTCTACTTACTTTATTCATATAATCTACAATTTCTAATCTACTACGGTAATGTACGCTATTGATAATGCAAGTGCAATAATATGATAAAATGATGACTATAACAACACAATATAAAATCCTCAAAATGAATAAGGAATATGGAAGAATATATGAAATTAAAAGTCATGTATATTGTCTGCTGATAAAAACAACAAAAATACATATGTATGTAAAAATGTACGCCTAATTTGCGCCCAAATTGTCAACTGGGTTATAAATTAATTATATAAAATTCACAGTTTACGTTTTTTTTTTTTTGTAATCAGTAAAAAAATATGAAAAAGAGTGAGAAATCAGTTTGGTAAAAAAATATTAAAACGGTGAAACATCAATTGACCAATATAGTATGTATCAACAATATCCTATAATTTATCCTCAAATAATTACAAGTACTTAGGTACCTTATATTGTTTCAATTGTATATACTAACAGTAGGCTTAGATAGCTATTCTAGTTAGGAATGCCTTAACTAAATAAGTAAAAAAAAAAAAAAAAATTTATATTGTTTCCAAGGCAATTTACTACAATTTATAATTCAATATTTGTTTATATAGGTCCAAGTAATTATTCAGCATACATCTTTCAATATTATATTGTTGAATATTTATTATAATAATTTATAACTAAAAAAGTAAAATATGGTTTTCAGAAAATTATCCGTAGTTATACCAAAAATTTTCAATTTGAAGATTAACAGGTACGTGACACGTTTACAACTATTCTTTCGTTCTGAAGTATAGGTACTATACTACTATATTTTACAGTACTTCTTGAGTCTCATGATAAAATAATACAAATCTAATTTTATAAGTTTCGCTCTCCTAGTGTCCTGTTCTCTAAAAAAATAACTAATACAAAAACAAAAAAAAAAAAAATTAGATTGTTAATTTATTCATAATTTTTCTTAAGAAAACGCTATACTCACATGCGATATCTCCATCTAACAAACGTATAGTATAACAAATTGTTCGTTCTAAATAATTAATTTAACTGTGATTTATTTAATATAACAGTGAATTATCCTATTAACATATTTAAAAGTAAGTATATTACTTAGGGAACTTCATAGGCTTTTTATATATATTTTTTTAAAGTGAGTTATGAGCATTTTAAAAACCTAAATTTTTTGTACATTTTAAAATGCTCGTAATTCATTTTGAAAAAAAAAAAAAAAAAGTATAAAAACAGTTGAGAACTCTTGGAGCAAACACGAGTAGAACAGGAACACAGGCTGGTTTAAGATGTCACTTATTTGTATTATGTATATTTGTAAATGTTATAAATTACGGATATTTATAAATTTTATTCACCAATAAACAATGGCAGCAGAGGAGTAGTATTGAGCAAACAGATCCTCTTATGCTGTCGGTTAAACAGGAAAAAAAGCGTACTTATCTATTACTGTTAGAATACTTACCTTTTATTCAAAAAATTCGATTATTATGAATAATCAATAATTCGTAAAATCGGTAATCATCTACTTTTGTAAGTTTATGTAAAGTTAACGTATTCAAGTATCGTAACTTGTAATTCATAAAGATAAGTATTTAAAATAGGAAATGAAATATTTATGTTCGCTTTATAGATTTAAAGTACCTGGTGTTGTCAAATTCTTCCAAAGGTTTACTGAAAATGGTGAAAATATTAAGATGCCAGAAAATAAGCCAGATGAACTAACTAATAAATCTGTTATTAAAAAGGTCATTGAAGAATTATCCAGGTGCGTGTGCGCTTATGTCATTATTTTACTTACTTAGAAGTTCCTACCCATACTAAATTTATGATTTTAATTCGAATACACGATGATGTACGTCATTTATTTTAGCTTATGCATTTATGGTTATAAAATTGTAACTGCGTCTTAAGAATTTATAAAAATGATTTAAAATGTTTAAATATTAAACAAATTGTATTCAACAAATAAATAAAATGTAAATAATTTAAGATACTATTTTCACTACCTATTAATATTAGTTGAAACCGTAAAAAAAAGTTATCATATACCCATTCAATTTGGCATTGTTATTTAGTATAATATGGTTAATAACGTATAAACATCATTACATAGACCGTCGAAACCCGAAAAGCCACCATATTTCGGGTATTGTCAATACATGGATCTGGTAGGGAAAGTGGCCGTCATCACCGGTGGTACCAGAGGTATTGGGCTAGCTGTGGCCAAGGATCTGATCCAAAACGGGGCGTCGCGAGTAATAATCAGTGGTAGAGACGTCCAGGAAGGCGGGAAAGCGCTTAAAGTCCTAAAAGACTTGTGTGACAAAGACACGAAAGCCATATACGTACCTATGGACGTCACCTCTGAAGAAGAGTTGAAAGGTACTTATTTATAGCTATGCATCTATATTTAAATCGCAGTCTGACATTACAATACTTATTGATATATTAGCGGGCTCATTGTTCAGGAGGTGGTCACATAATTCTAACTTGTAGGGAGGAAGGTGCACAAAAAAAAAATATTAATTACTTTTTCTTGTGCACCTTCCTCCCTACAAGTTATATATGGTGATTTTTAATTTTATTTTTACATAATAATATAAATACATTTTGATATAATTATTAAATAATAAAAAATTAGTGGCTTGGCGTGGCGCGTTGGCTATTACCAGTCGCAAAATACGACTAAGAGTAAGTAACGGCCACAGCTACTAACTCCCGGATGGGTGACCACTCGGAATCATAGTGGTTAAAAACCTTGCCACACATACACGTGTTTGCTATCAACCGTTATAATCGTAAAATACAACCTACCGTACCAACCTTACCCCTTACCATAGTTCATAAGATATAATTCAAGAGAAGAATGGAAGAAAGGAAACGTTTAGTTTAGGAGGGGAAGTTTTTAAATTTTTTCTCGTCAATTTGTTATAAAATTTTAATTTTTAAACGACAAAAAGTTTAAAAAAATAAAAATATAAACAAGAAATACCTTTAAATTTGATCTCAGGTCAATCAACTCTAATATTAAAGTTAATAACACAAAATAGGTTCTGAAAACATATATACTGTTTTATTTATTTTTTTACACAAAGATAAGACATGCAAATATCCTCTATTAATATCTATCTAAAATCTAAATCATAAAATATTATTTTAAACAGTAAATACGTTAAAATCACTATGTCTAAACGAATTATGGAATTTTTTTTCAACGAGACTACTAAGAAAATTAATTAATTGAAATTTAAAATTCAACAAGGTTCGTAGTTCTTAAAATATAAAACTCAAGATTAAAAGAATAAACTTTTTTTATTACTAAGACGCCGCAATTCTACACAGAGGGTTAAAGGTAAGGGGGAAAACACTACCTTTTACATACGAGTATATTGTATTACTATGTTTGCTTTAATATATGTTGGTTTACTATTAAAAAATATCTTGGCGCCACGCCACCAACATTACATTAAAACCTTCGAGATGAGCTAACATTTTTTTTTGTAATTCCAGAATTATTCAACTACACTGCCACAAATATGGGTGGTTTAGACATTTTAGTGAACAGTGCGGCCATTCTAAACGAATCGTCCATGTGGAGACGAATGGTTGACACGAACGTGGTAAATTTTTTTAATCTTTGTGTAGCCATGTAGATATTTAAACAAAAATCACAAATAACAACATGAATTAACTTTATCTTATACTCACGCATTTAATAGGCCTTTTAAGCACATTGCCACCCTAATTACTTAGTAAATTTTTACCTTTAACCAGTTCTTTTCTGTTCTTTCAACTCTTTGATTACTCTATTTTCCATCTTTGTTTGGTACGTCTTCTTGGCCATTTGGTGTAAGTTCCTCTAAAAATAGAGGAATCCTGAGGGATCGTACAAAAATGTTTTTATTTTTAATATAACATAAGCAATACCAACATTCATGCATTTTAAATATTAACTATATATGTAATAAAGAATATCTTGGATATCTAAAAAATCAATAGCGAATTATATGAAATAAATAATGTCATTTGTCCAGGGCTCGAAAGTTGTAGCAAATGTATGTTTTACTTAGTTCGTTCTAGAACATCCAAAGTAAGATACAAATATATTTCACACTTTTCTGGTGTCATATACGAAATTTTATTTTGCTATTTTTGCATATTTAGGGTTTTTATTACTATTTTACTAATTTAGTGTTTTTAGTATTATTTTTTGGAATATTTTCACATAATATGTATAAAATATTCATATTTTGTTGAAAATAATGATTTATTGGTTATATTTCTAAAAAATATTTGAATTCTTGGAATTTTTTTTTACTTTTTAACTGTAAATTATAAATTTGCAAAATTACATTTAATTTTTTTCTAATAAATTTACAACTTTTACCAGTTAAATGAATATTTATTTTTTTCGAGTTATTTATAGCGCATATTTTGGAGTTTTAAGTGCATAGTAAATAGAGCTAAAAAATACCATTTTTAGTGCTATAACTTTTGAGCCCTAGTCATTACTTATATATGTACACACTTATGACTTGAGCGATATTACATTTATTATTATAATGATTTATATATAATACCCGGTCATTTAGATACTAATTTTAATTATTGACATAATTTCTTGCAGAGAGCCTTAATAACTAGCACGGAGTTAGGAATAGATCTAATGAAAAAGTTTAAAAGGCCTGGAAGAGGAGTGATCGTGAACCTATCTGCTATGTACGCTATCAAACCTCTGCCTCAGCTTCCGGTATTCAGTGGTACTAAAGCCGCCGTTCGGGCCGCCTCATTGGCATATAGTGTGAGTATCCTATTCATAATAGCATGCAATATTTATGACGAAACTACAAAAGTATGTATAATTAATTTTCCCGTGGTTATGTAAAGGTTAATAAAACTAAATACATTTACTACATCAGTAATTTCATTAGCATTATTTTTCAACTATTCATAATGGTGAATGATGATCAAACTTTATTCATTATTTAAACACTTATTAAAACTTATTATTTAAACGCCGTAATAGATTTAGTGTTACATATACGTCTTCAGATCTAAGTCTTGACAAGTGACAAATACCTAATTACATTACCAGTAGAATTAATTAATATTGTTACTATATTATCGTTAGAAATGTTTTCTAGTTAGTGGCTGTAACAAACTATTAATCTACCTAAAAAAAATATACACACGAATAATTATTGCGAATTTCCATAATTTCTTGAATAGTACTTACTATTTATGTAAATTAAAATATTTCTATCGTATTTTTTAGTTTTAATAAATGATTATTGAATCAATTTAGTTTTGTGTATACATTTTTGGTTTTTCTATTATTAAACTCTTTTTACTTTTGGCCTCACTTCACCCAAAAAAGTACCAAATGGTTTAATTTTCCAAAAAAAATTTACATTGAAGTTGAAAGTTTAAGTATTTCTTATACTATAAAAAGTGCCTTCAGACATACACAAAAAGAACCAGATTTTTGTAAAATTAATACTTTTATCATTCTGTTAAAATTTTAAAATATACTTTAATCAAAATATTAAATTTTTTACAATAACAACTGGTTTGTGAAAAGGGTATACTTAAATTGGCCCTAATGATATTATAAAAACTATTCAATTAAAATGCTTATATTTTGTAACCTCTTATAAATAAAAGAAATTGAAATTGCATACCATATAATCATCCACAAAATTTTATAATAAATTTACTGATGTACAGTAATTTTGAGAGTTAATTACATTAATCGCTGTTCAACTATATTTAAACTTGTGCTAAACAATTTTCACATTTTATAAACGGTTATAGAAAATGAAAGACAGTAATTTGCGGATTATAACCGCTTGTATGGGTCCTACGAATACATCGATGCTGTTGAATTTATCACCTGATGACATAGGCGAATGGACTAAAGGCGAACAAGAGGATTTACTGGACATGCTAAAAGCCAAACAAAAGTTAGTGTTTATTATACATAACTATGTAAAATAATTTGTTTTTGTCAAGATACGTTTTTAAAAATCAAATAAGTAGTCAATTCTATTAAATACTTAAATTGTTATCGTTAATTGTGTAAAATTTCATAATTAAGTACCAATTAAATAATCCCTTTTATGGGTATCTAATAATTATGTCATTACTTAAGTCATTGCCGTGCAGGCGAGGATCCATAATATATAAACGGGGAGGTAAGGGGGCAAACAATCTTGGATAAAATTTTAGCCAATCTAAAAAAAAATACGAGTAAATACTACTATTTATATCAGTGTATGTTATTCAAATTCCAAATTCTAATTTATCAACACAATTAATTGGTAAAATAAATGATTAATTATATATGATTTAAAATAAAATATAAAAAAAAAAATTATCAGAACAAGATCGCAGTCTTTTAACTTACCAAATAAAACTATACAGTATACATAACTGTCACAGTAAGGACGTAATTATGGATGGAGAGGTTATGGGGAATAGATCCCCCATATGTTATATCTATGTATTTATATTTTGTTGTTTCTCATTTTAATTTTAAGTTTAAATATAAATTTATACATTATTACAAACTAAAAATAAAACGATAATATTTTAAGACTTAATAAAAAAATTGTAAGTGATTTTTTAAATAATAATATATTATCTATTGTTTTGTAGCGATCATCTACTGTAAACTATTAGGTAAAATAAATTAAAATATTATGTTAATATGTAATGAGTAGAGCCCGAATTTCAATGCAAAATGTATCTTTTTTTGGTTAATTTTAGACAATGCTTTCCAAGTTTATAATTTGATTCATGTAACACTCAGTAACAGAGATTTTACAGAGGTTTTTTTTTATTTTTTATTTTTTTTTTAGATTTTATAAACATTTTTAATTTTTTTTATTTTAACAAAAATTTTTATTTTGCATTTTTTTGCTTTTATTGCATATTTTATTATTTTTTTCATTTTTAGAACATATTTTAGCATTCTTTGGTCATTTTTCTTTTTTAATGCATATTTGTACAATATACGAGTATAATATATAGTATTGATACATATACGGCCATAGATTAAATATACTTAAAATATTAAATCTATGATACGAATTATTTTTCTTACGATTTATTAATCGTTCTATACATACAAGCTTTTTTTAGATCGTTTTTCAGTGATTTTTAGTGCATTAAAATCCGGGCTCTAGGGAAGAGTTATTAATTATATTTTGTAAAAAGTGGTGTGGGGTCTTCGCCCCCACAGATCTGCCTTAAAGTATTTTTTGATACCTCCCCCGCCTCCATAAGACATTCTGAATTACACCACTATGACAGTGACCGTATCATTTGTCAACTAGTTTATATTTTTACTACCTAACAAATTATCACCATAATATGATTAAAATCGTAAATAAAATACTTGATTAAACATTAGTTAAATCCTAACCATGGGCGTCAAAATATTGAAAGTTGAAATGACATTTTATAAGACAATTAAATAGACCGCAGTTTTAATACAGATTAATAAAATATTTTAAAGTGTCAAACAAGTTTGTGTTCAATCAAGCAACGTTTTATCGTTTATTAATATTAATTATGTTACCGAAAACAGACATATAGGAGTTATCGCCACTTGAATCCTCGTCTGCTGAAGTGCCTTAAAAATATGAGATAAATTAATATCATTACAGGTTTTACATTGGACATAACTTTAAACATGAATACTTTATTATTTTATAGAATATACCTAATCTATAAATATCATTATAAGGACCTAGTTGTAAAACAAAAACTTAGGGCTATAAAGTAATTTTCAAAATTCACCTCTTTTAGAAGTCAAAAGACTAGAGAATCAATGTCAGGAATAAATTTAAATCTAGTGGTATAATTATTGATTATGACAATTGTTTAATTGTTACTATACTTAAAAACCTAATTAGTAGATAAATATGAAAATATTTGATAAAAAATGTAAATTTAAGGGTATAAATGAAAATATTCCGCTTAGAGAATAAGAGTGATATGCATACAAATACAACTGACAATACGAGTATATCGATAGTACTGATAGATACAAACTTGCTACATTCTAATAAGTAAAATCAGTTTCTATTGCTTTGCACTCCTACTCCCTTAATAGACAGAATGTAATTAATATACTCGGCAAAGAACAATAAGAAATAATTATTCTTCAATATAACTAATATGTAATATATTATTCATTTCTTTTTTATCTATTATAAATTAAGTGTAAACATTATACAATTTGGGTTACATTCAAAATATTAAAATGTAGCCCCAAACCTTAACATATAAATATAATCAATAACTTGTATGATGTACACAGTGCGGATTACGCAGGCAGATGCATAACACTGATGATGCAGTATGCAGACAACGGGTCTACATATCTTGTAGTCAATAATAGTTTGCACAGATGTAAAAAAAGTGAAGACTCGCTGTTCACCCTAAAAATGATCCAGAAGTTTCCGTAACCGAAGATTGACTGTAGCCGATTCAAAAACCGCACCCGCACCAAAACAAACCCCTCACCCTCACCACGACACACCCCTCACCCACCGTTGACTCACTCCTCACACACCATTGACTCACTCCTCACTCACCATTGACTCACCCTCTGCACTTGCACCCGTAACTCGCCATCAACCGTGACTCTTCCGCCACACGCCACCGTCGCCTGATCTATAACTTCACCGACATAATATATTTTTTCACCCACGCACCACTGATGTCTATATTATATTAGATAACGAACTCCACTTATCTCGTGAAGCCCAAGTTGATAGTCTGGGATCTGTGACAATTCAGCAATGACATTTTAGCGCACGACAGTTCAGCGATGACATTTCAGCGAACGATAATACAGCGCATACGACAAGTCAGCACTTTTTTTTTTTATAATAAATTATAAAATTAATTAAACCTAATAAATATAATAAATACTAAATTAAAATCATGTTTAAAAAAAACATTGTTATTTGTAAGTAGTTATAATATACATAATAATTTATAATAGTATAATAATATGTTAAATAAATTAAAAATAATAAATATAATAAAATACCAAAACAAATTATGTTAAAAAAAATATTGTTAGATATTGCTAAATGCACATTATATTATAATATAAATCACTTATTTAAATTTAGATTGTGAGCTATCCCTTGTAAATAATCATTGATTGGTCGGTTTTCAAAATCATTGCATATATATACATTTTTTTTTTGCTGTATCTTTATATTTTATTTTTTCAGTATATTATTGTATAGATAATGTATAAATATGTCTAGGTATCTTATATTCTTGTAATATTATCTATTGAGTTATTTTTTAAACATTTCCCTGTTGGCAAATGGCCACTAGACTTCAATGTTCCTATGGGAATGTAATATGCAAATCCGCTATTTAGTTGTTTTACATGTCTATGAACACAACATATATAATTTAGAAGTTGTTTAACAAATCTTTAATATAATTAATTTAAACTATACACTTTAAAATATTACTGAAAATCAGAGAGTCAAAACGGATTAAGATATTTCGGATTATGGGTTTCGAGTTTGAAACCGGTGAACATTTTTAGCGGGGTTCGGGTTTCGGGATCAACACCGGGTAAATTTTTTTGCGCGTTTCGGATTTAAGTTCAAAACCATGGAAAATTTTTTTACGGGATTTTTCAAATTATTTATAAAAATGTAAGTGTTTATCATTAACTGTTTACATTACTACTCTAATATAATTAAATTATTCATACTGAATTTCACTTTAGTATATGCATTATTAACTGGTAAAACGGAAGAAATATATGTAACATTATTTCAATTTGTCCGTACAATTTTACCATTAGATTACTATAATCTAACAATCATCACAGATTTCGAGCTAGCCCAAATTAATACAATTAAACAAATTTTCAAAGAATGTGTTCACCTAGGTTGCTGCTTTCATTTTTTTTCAGGTGATGAATTTATGTGTGATTAATTCATGTGTTAATTATTATATATAATTAAATAATTTACCTTTTAAAAAATATTTTTTATATTCCTCAAACAGGCTGTTCTTCGTCATTTAAGGTCCAAGGAAATGGGGATTTATAACCTTGTGAAGACAAATAATATTGCTGCTCGCATCTTCCGAATGATACCTATCAACAACATTATTATTTTATTGTTGAATATAATATTTTATTATTTTCATATAATTATTATTTTGACAGATACTATAGCTACTCGTATGTCTTACCTTCCATCAGATAGAAATTATCAAATGCCAAATATGTAGGATGGATTCAATATTATTTTGATTTGCATAGTAAAGTGTCCGGAGATAGCTGATGCATTCCACTCATTTTTGTATAATTATGTATTTATTTATTTGTTGCTAACAAAAAGTTTTGGCAGAAAAAAATTTAATTTTGACATAATTAAGATGAAAGGACACATTGAATATAATTACCTTATTAATTAATTTGTGTTTGTTTTTTAAAATAATTTAAAATATTTTTTTAAATTTATTGTAGGTTTATAGTACTACTATTTGTGTCTTGTGATTTCTTATAATTTATATGTATGGTTTGGATTGGATTGAAAATGAATAGAAGTTGTACACATATACATATATATGTTTATATAATATATATTTTTGTAAACAACAAGGTAAAATTTTTTCTAATAGAATTGATTAATAATGGTTGGAAAAGCAAGTGTCTTATGTTTATCTACATACATATATGTTAAATGTGAGAACTATGTTGTACTTAAAATATATTTTATTTTTTTTATAGTACAAATACGATTTCTAGAAAATCCTTACGTTGTTGAGTTTAATCAAGTTTTACATAACAAATTGCTTCATAAAAGATTTGACGGCCGACTCATTTTCCTTCGTGACAATCAGCAATAGCCACCAAGGTCATGTGATTTAACTCCATGTGACTTCTTCCTTTGGAGCTTTATTAAATCACTGGTTTATGCAAACAGACCGAAAACATTATTGGATCTTAAGCAAGAAACTCAACGAGTTATCAGTGAACTCGACAGGCAAGTCTATGAAAATGTGATTTGTAATTTCATGGACAAAGTCACTGCGTGTTGAGCGAGTAGAGGAGGTCATATTATGGCCGATATTGTATTTCATACTTAAACCTCAACTTCTAATGAAGTAATATATACCATTAATAATGTATTTCTTGTAAAATAAAATCGATTTATAGCAAAATTAAAAACTACATTGTTTATGAAACACCTTGTATGTAAACAAATCAAGTTAATATTAAAAAATATTGTAATTATAATCATTTACTATATTTTAGGTGAAGTCTGGTGTACCTAATTGGGTGAAAAATTCAAATATATTGGCGATTGTACAATCAATCCAACATCTTTTAAGTGACAATGCTCATGACCGAATAGCATTATTCTTAAAAAGAACTGGTTATCGAGTAGATGGATATATAACATTGTAACTTAAGAAATTGGCCTTTATCCCAGTTAGGACATAATCAATTTATCTTAATGAATAAATGTATAGATTTTATAATAATTAATTTGACATTTTTTTAGGTGAAGATGAACCTAACCAAGTAACCAAACAGTAGAATATTTTTTTTATTTGTATAAAATCAAAATGGTAGTTCTGTAAAAGGAGTTCAATTTCTGTCTTCAATTTATGAAAACAACGGCCCCTCTATATTACTCTATGATCCGCATATACGCGACTTGCATTATTATTTCTTATCAGTCATCACAAATGTTATTATCAGTTATCAAATAAAATATTATCATATGTTATTTATAGCCCATATCTCGCCGCCCTCAATACTTAGATTTACGGTGTATATATATAAAAAAAAATAAACATAATTTTCTGGTTTAGAGTCGAACTGAGTATCTCCGTTGTATCATGAAACCTATTTCATGTACCTTGTGTGATAATGATAAAGCATTCACTCTCAACACGAATCTCAATAGTCATAAGAAAAGCGTGTATGGTATTTCATATTTTTTATATTTTAGTATTTATTTTTACATAGGAATCGTGAGTATTATTTAATGTGTTAACGTGTAAGGTGTAAATCAAGTATTAATCCCTATTAAGATGTTCGAGACACGTCCACCAACTCAACCAGGTAGGTCTATCATTCAAAATGTAAAAAATTTATTGATACTTAATAGCAGACATATTATAGGGTCTACCGATAGCATATGGCACACACCCGCCAACAAAAATATTTAAATGTAATTAATTATAGAAAATCCATCAATAATAATATTAAAAAAATGGATATTTGTATTGATTCTTAATAGGTTAGACATCCACCAACACGAATATGTATAGAAAAATGACCAATTCTATTGATTCTTAATAAGGTAGGCATCGTGAAAAACTATAAAAAAAACCATTGTCATTGACACTGCAATATCATTAGTAACATCCCATACATTAGTAATGATAAAAATATAATAGCTATAATGAAAACGACACACAAATTTACCTTTACACGACGAGTGGTCACTGCATGGTCAATCTGTTTTCAATCTTAATCCAGACATCACAGATTTATCATTCGTTCAGTTTTTAAAAATTTACAGTGAATTTTTTTATTTCAAAATGTTTAATTGTGAAAACTGTGTATCTTCGTTTACACGGAAGGACAGTTTGAAAAGACATGAAAAAATACACAAAGAGATTTGTTTTCCGTGCACTATTTACACATCGATGTTTAGTTACAAATCTCACCAAAATAAACATATGAAAAACATCCATGGTATGTATATATCGCTTATTTTTAGTTTTATTGTAATTTTTATTATTTTAAATATTTAATTTAATACTTATTTTACAAGCTTTAACATACATTCAACCTGTGTTATAACAAGGTGAAATAGAAATCGCCCCGAACCAGGACCGGACTAGACAGGCGAGATACCGGGAGTTTCCCGGTGATGGGTCTCTTGTTTGAATTGGGCCACTTTAGTCGTAGGGACTTTTTTTTTAAATTTATCGGTTAAGGCATAATCGAAACATTTTACAAAAGAGCTCAAATCTTAATAAATTGCTTAATATGTATTAATGTGTATTTTGAAGTTTAAACATATGTATTTTAAATAAAAATGATAACATTTTTTTGTATTATGTAATCAATTTTTAATGATTATTTTAAGTGTTCAAATTCTCAAAATAATATACTATCATTTTATACGAAAATTATATTTTTTTTTAAGGTTGTTTTTATAGGTTTTCCTAGGTGAGCCGATTTTTTTTGATTTTCCCGATATACATTTTCGACCCAATCCGGGCCTGCTCCAAGCATTATAGTACTAGAACAGCTAGCAGGCTCCTCTAATCAGTCTCAGAACGAAAATAATATAGAAAACGATGGATATTATGATGATTTGTGTGTCAAAGTTCTAGAACATGTTGAAGATGCTGGATTATGTGATGTGTCGGGTAAGATTTCTTTTTATATATACATATTATTGGCGGACGTTAGATTTACATAGATTTATTTTTTTTTTAAATAGATTCTTTTATGACTACAGTTGGAAGAAAGCGCACGCATGTAGAAAACACTATTTTTTATAAGTCATGTATTAAAACTAAAAAAGAACGTTAGGTCGAATGGATATTGTTAATACACCGGGGATCGCTGAGGTTAAATCCGCGCATAGTCGAAAAATTGTATGATATGGTATAGTATTTGCTAAAAATCTATACTATCTCGAAAATTATACTTCATTTTTCGCTAATTTAAAACCTGAACTCATTGAATTATTAAATAGAATGGTATTCGTTAACCCAATAAAATTTAATTTAAAGCTTGAAGCCACATACAATCAACCTCATATAGATAACTTTTTATAAAATAGGCCATTCAAGACATCAATAATTGATGTTACCAGCGATATCGTTATACCTACCTTTATTATATAGTGTCCCAGCAGAAGCGCACATTCTAAAAATGCAATAACTCAGCAAAAAACCATCAAAGTTTCAAAAAAAAAAAAAAAAAAAATGTATTGTAAACAAAAACATCTCCAATTTAATGATGAAAAATAATGTCCACTTCCGCAAACCTTACATGTAATAATGCGATCTTTGAAATTGGTGATTTCTTTCGCGCACATCTCTCAGCCGATTCCGCCAATTATTCACCTGATTTCTTTCTTCAATAGAACGATGCTTTGTGAATTGTTTGCATACACTTGTGACTTCACCCTGTGTGATTTTTTTATGAGGATATGTGAAGTCACAAGTGTATGTAAACAATTCACAAAACATCGATCAATTGAAGGAAGAAATCGCGATATATGCGGTGCCAACCACGGAGATTTCCTAATCTCTAATACTCTGTGCACCTGAAACGTATAAATAATTTTTGTTTTTGTAAAAAAGAGATAAGTAGTCTATATATATATATATATATATATATTATAATAAATACTACCTTATCGACGACCAGCCCGTTGGCGATGGCCTGTTTTAGATTCGAATAATGCACGACATAATACGTCTTCCGCTCAAACGTGACCATCAACTTCTGTACTATGAACCCGGGTGGAATGCTGACGTGCGAAAGAAACGGAATATCATTGTGAATGACGTGCAGATGCTGTAGCCTGTAAGTACGAAATGTCGACTTCGTAAATTCTTCCTACTTCATACGTATCCATCATCCACTCGAGCTGAGCCAACGCGTCGTCCGGATTTCCCTTGTACCATGAAAAAACGTCGTACGGCATACCTATATTCGGTAATCGGTTAGGTTTCTATTCGGCCATGGGACATCCATAGAAATTATAACCTTCTGAGGAAAAATTAATACACTATCATACTATATCAATATTATTATTATTATATATATATATAATTATAATATTGGTATACGAGCCACGTATTCGATTCGTTGGCTTTGTATTCGAACGTCTTCGGGTTGTTGGCTTTAGCGTGACGCTCGTTCGCCCTGTACTAAGCCGTCGCGAAGGATTGCGGACTCGAAAATAAAATTTTCTCATAATCAATGAGGAGCTCTATTTTGATCAACGTGTATTTCAGCATACAGTCAAAACTGAATCCGGGTGGAGGGTGCCGTGTAATAATACGCTGGGTCTAGCTGGTACATCTCCGACCTCCGTCGAAATAAACACTTTTGCAACTTAGCGAAATTTGGAAAATTTTTCGGTCGTAAGGTTCCGCGCCAAGTCGGACAAACTCGACGCCATGAACCGACGCGTATTGATAGACTTAACGGTGAACTCGTTGTAGATATATATTTCGAAAACGAAATATAATTTTTCTCTATGTATTATCGATATCGTGTCAGTATTATACCCCAACTCGGTCACGATGAAATGTGCATCGTAATTGAAAAGGTGTTCGGGACAAACTTCGGCGTTCGTAGTATTCGCGACCTTGCAATTACTCGCAAGTCGCAGTAAACGTTTTCGTACACAAGTCGCACGCGGTCTTGGCTCCGTTCGCACGTTCATTCTCAACGGTCATCGCGATTTGGTATATTGGTCGTCTCGAGCAATTTACACATTCTACCGACCAAATTGGCGACAGCCAGTACAAATCGTTTAGCGACATCGTCGGCGGACTCGGAACCGCGAAAAACGGTCGGAGTCCGCGGGACACCACACTGCTCTAGTAGTTACGCCGGTACACCGTCCGCAGCGACTACCAAAAATCCGTAACTCATCGGGTGGTATTTTACCCATAGCCCCGCGTAGTTTTAGGTAAGAGCAGAGTTTCGAAGTCGGCGTACAATACGAACGGCAGGCGTAGCGTTTTGCACAACGCGTCGAACTCGAGCATTACGCCCTCCACCGGCATTATGGGTAAGATTATGATCCATGGATTTATATTGGATTTATTTTAAACAATAATGTATAATACATTGTGAAAAAATGTAATTTTTGTTGTTCTAATCATATAGTATTGTTTATTTAGCATACTACAACTGTAAAAACATAGTTTTTATTTACCACTTTTGCATACTAATTAAGTATCAATACAGAACATTAAGTCCTATACACTTCAATACTTTTTATGATAATTAATTAAAATTAATTTTACGATTATTCATAACTAGACATTGTCTACAAAAATGTAATTTATATTCATTATTTTATTATATATGCAAATTATATGTACGCGGTGATGATGTTAACGAACTGGATGCGTAGTTTACACAAATGATTTTGTTCCACATCTTGAATAGGTACAGTTGACATCGCCGAAACGAGTTGAGTAACGAATTGAAAAAGATTATCGAGAATAAAATTAAATGAAAAAAACTAAAAAACTAATATACAACATACATATAAATAGTAGGTAAGTTGGTAAGTATACCATATGTATTACACATGTAAAACGGCAGCATAACATCGGAATAATAATACATAAATTGTACTATTGTAGTACCTATATACTCAGAATTAAATATACTATAATAGGTAATATATTAAAATCAATTAGAATTTATATTTTGAAAAATATTCACATTGTATTTTATTGCACTACTTTAGATTTTGTTTTACTATAAATTTATATTTTAATTATTCATGGTTAATATTTTTAAATTATTTTTACTAAATATTTATAAATGATGAATGTTCTTTTCAATGTACTTACCTTGTTTTTTAAATTTTTAATTGAAAGTTTATTCGTTTACAATGTTAAGAAATATGTATGGTAATACATATAATATTATATCCACAATATAAAATGTCCCCCTAATAAATACTCTGGACCCGCGCCTACTGTAAGCGTTGGATTTTTCCAAAAAACGTATATTTTAATAGTATTATGAAACAAAATAAAACCTAAATAGTAAATAGTAATTATTATACAAAACAATTTGTTCATTTTAAAAATCTTATTTTTAGATATTATTAAATAATGATATTAATAGGTAAAAGAAAAAGTTTTTTTAACTTTTAAAATTGTGAAAATAGCTAGCTGTCAATTAGGTGCTAACTGCTAAAATTAACCTAGCCTTTTTATAGTAAGAAGTTGGCTAATTCCGCCAAAAACAATGGTTGATAATAATAGATTATTATAACACGACAAAAACAAATAGCTTTTTATTCGTGCAGGGACTTGTACACGTCTTAATTATCTTTATTGAAAACAATGAAAATTATAAGATAATCTGTAAGTACATGAAAAATAAATAAATAAAATTACCGAGATTGATATCTATCAATTAGTGGTCAACCAATTATCAAAATACGATGAATATAGATATTGAATAATGTGCATTATACATAGCCACCAGTAATACAAAAAAAAAAATGCTCATCAAGTCATAAGTCATAGACCATAGTCATAGATTTATAATTCCAGCAACATTCTTAACGTTTTAAACAACAGTGTTAGAACACAACGATAACCATTATCATATTATTGATCGAATTAGTCATGAATTTTTATTGTAATATACACTAATAATACAGTAGGTAATACATAAACATAATATTAAACATTTACATTTGGTCAAAGATCAAACAATTAGCGTTATGATTAAAATAACTTCAAATAAACATCTTAATTTTGTCTTCACCCCAGATTAATTTTAAAAATGTTTTAAATTGATTCTGATTATAACTATTAAAAATTGTTAGTAAAATTAATTATGTATTTATATACAAGAGCTTATTAAACAGCACATTGATATCAAATAAGCGTTAAAAATTAAGAATTTGAAATACATTTCGTTGGCCTAACTCACAATTTGCCTAACTCAAAAATGATGACTTTTCAGGTGTAACGAAAAACGTTTCATTAATTTAAAAATATTAAATAAAACTTAAAATATTTATGTACTTACTACTATTCATGAATTATTGATTTTTTTTTTCAATATTTATTTAAATTTATAACTTAAATTCATCGTTAAAATAGGTTATTTCGTTCAAATATATATATGAAAAATTGGATCAATTCATTTTCGAATATTTTGACCAAGTCAATAATTTCTTATTGAAAAGTAAACAAAAAGAAAAATGTTTAAGTTGATAACTGAGACATTTTTACTGCCTCAAAAGGCAAGGAGGAACAAAAATCATTTAATTGTGTAATTGTTTTGCTCAGAATCTAAAACAATACTGAAAAATGAAAAGTATATTTTTTAAATAAAATAAAGATTTAAAATGTTCATTTGTAAATATACAATGCTATTGTTTCAAATGAATTTGTAATAGAATAATGTTATTATTATATGTTTATAATTAGCTTCTAGCATCAATATTTAATAATTTAAATTCTATGTTTAAAGGTCTACTCCATCTCTTAGATCACAAACTGACAGTGAACCATGTAAATCATATTGACTATTAATAAACCCTACTTCTTGTCTCCTTGTGGGGTAGTCTGATAGTAATATTGTTAAATAGATGTGAATAAATTTATTTTAATATTAAGATATTATTGTGAAGGAGATACTTAAAATAATTGAAATGTTCTGCTTTAAAGTTTACCATGTTGTATTAATGTGTATGTGTTATTTAAGTAGTATAGTTGTATACACCTTGTGTTAATAACTTGATGTTAATACAAAAACAGCAAATATGGATAAAAAATAAACTGTATATTATAATAAATAAAGATTTTGTTACGTATAGAGCCATAAAGTTTAACACAAAAAAATCCCAAACAAATAAAATCATAGTATAAACATAAGATAACATTAATCATTATACAACAAAAATTATAGAACATATCATAATGTAATGAGTGGTTCTTGAGTGTTTAATTCTTGTTTCATCAATCCAAACCTCCATTCGTTTCTATCTCTAAGTATAGGCCTGCCAAGTTGATTGTGCAGCTCTTTGAATGTTTTCCGAAATGAAACTATATCTTTGCGCTGAGGAGATTGATGATTATTGATTGGCTTATTGAAAGGATTATTACGACCTCTTGGAGGTGGCTGCGGTGATGATTGTCCACTTTCTTTTTTTTGTGATGTTTGGTTATTTGGTACTTGAAGAGACACTCGAACAGGCGATTCTATGCAGAGATGTAAAAAAACATTTTACTAAATAATGATAAATAATATCATTGACTATTAGGTTTTGAACTATGTTTCATTTGCATCTTTTAAGTGGTGCTGTAACTACTGCTCATATAAAAGGGTATAACAAGAGTTTTTTAACCAACTATATAATAACTATACAACTATATTATAATTAATATATTAACTTACTAACTATACATATATGATAATATACATTACTAGAACTAATTATTTTTTATTAAAAAGTAAAAAGTGAGAAAAATGAAAAAATATTTAAAAAAGTGACTTCATATTTTTTTATTTGAGAAAAAGTAATTACACATCTTTAAAAATATCTTAAACTCTAAGGATCTTTAATTCACTAAGTGTAACCTCTTAAGTCCAGCAGTCATAAACTATGAAAATAGATTTTTTATCAGATTTATACTTCTATTTTAATAATTTCACTAAATAAATAATAGGCAATTAAAATATTTTGAATACAGAATCCTGTGTATATCTCCTATAAAAGAATATTAACAGGACAAAAATTGGTTTTTTATAACTTTTCTAGAAACTAAGAAACTATTAAAAATTGTGAAGTTAATAAAAAAAGGAAATGTAATTTTTTTTTTTATTTAAAATAATTTATAATCTATATAATTATTAGTATAAGCAAATTTGATAGTTAATAATGGTAAGTGACAGATAAACATTTATGGGCAAGCACTAAGCAGTACCACCCAATCTGGTACTTTTTAGGTGTTATTGTGATTATTTCTTTTCAAACAATATTTTAGTTCAAAATTGTTTACCCTAATATTAAAGATTAAAAATTAAATTTATTAGGTTTCTATTTTGTTTTTTTCAGTGATCACATTATGAAAATAATTAATGACATACAATTAGACAAAAACAAGCATATACTTAATATATCAACAGATAAATAATAATGGTAATATTATATTCAAAATAACAGCAGTAGCTAATGCTTGAAAATGTATATTATTATTTGGACACTTTATTCTTAGAAAAACTTAGCTGTCAACTACTATTACAATGGAAAATAATATTTATTTCTTCAATTAATAAAGATACAGTTAATTGACAAAAAGTACTTTAAAGTGAGCTATAAGAGCATAAAATTGAAAAGACAGAAGGAGCTCGTACATGGTGCACACCTTGCACACTCAGTAGTTGTGACGTGGCTCATTAAATTTATTACTATAGATTAATTATAAATTAATTTCATGATATAGAAAATGTTAGATACCAATTTTTACTTTTTAAGTGCATAACTACTAGACTAAAAAATAGATACAATGTTTATACTCTGTTTTTATCATCGCATATAACATTATAGCCTAGGAGTATGGAAGTCAGTTCATTTAGAGTGGTTACAGATGGGTACTGTGCCTTTTAGCTTATGTGCAGTCACATTTTTTCTTTAAACAGAATAAAGAGTTTTAATAATGGTAAAGATTTATATTAATATACCTTCCAGTTCTTTAAGTTGTCTTTGTAAATCAGCCACCATAAATTTCATGTAATCATAACTGGCACAAGCCAATGACTTCATCCACTGTTCCATTGATTCCTGGCTATCGGCTCCCAATATATAGCTCCTATTATTAGGACCATGAAAAATAATTTTAAAACTGAACTGATCATCATTTTCGGCCAACTCTGAAGTACAACAGTTATAATCATTTAATACCAACACAGTTAATAGTAATGAATTAACACAATTTACCTATGCTACATCCTTCCAGTATGATGACACCAAGTGGCTCCTTATCACTTTTCCGATCGAAATAGAAAAGCAAGTTGCCTTTAAGAACAAACCATCTTTTTTGGTAGCCTTTGTTGAGTTCTCCTCGTTTGCAAAGCCATCCTTCTTTGTCCACTGGTGACGTCGACGTCGAATACGCTGATAAATTTTTCTCGTTTATCTTCATTGGGATTGTTTAGTTTTCATTAATATGTAAGTTCTGTAGACATTTTAAAATTTATTAATATTTATCGAACAAAATGTAAATAATAAATCTATTTAAAAAATACTGATTTCAAGTTTTTAACAGAAGTAGATATGATCAGATGATAATAATTATTAATTTTATAGACCTTAGTATTTGAAAGAAATTCGAATTACATAAAAACATTAATATAGATTAATATAGCTAAACCTTATCACTTTATCAGTTATCACGTAATAGTCGTAATATCATGTAATTATCTGTAATTTTATGTTATCCATTAACTTTTTAATGGTATTGTAAATTTCGTCTATTCTGTAATTTACTACGCCATAGTTCATAGGCATTAGGCACAGATTTCACAGAAGCAACAGGGGCAATTTTTATTTTAAGCGAAACATCGCCCCCGTACTAGATTATTATAACGGGGATAAAACGTAAAAATAATATTATTTTATTTTTTATTTAAAATAAATCTTGTGACCCAAAACAGTATGCGAAATGTAGAAAAAGCTATAGAGATGTATTTAATTTTATAAGAGAATTTATTACATTCATTAAGCAATCACCCTAGATGCTATCTTGATTTAAATGAATAAAAAATAAAAAAATTATAACTTCCCCAGGGCCGTTTTGCTTTACTATATGGATGGACATTACGTTATAGTTTACTGTTTTCTGTTATAGATACCTAACTACAATGAACTACCTATCTACATTTTTGACAGATTTTTCAAAAACTGAACACATCGATGCATGTTCTAAGGTAAATAGATTTTTTATATAATACTTATATAATGCTTAAAACAGTGATTAGTATTTTTAAATACACTGAGACTACAAATACAGTAAGTAGGTATTACAATTTACAAAATAAACTGTAAATCATATTTTTAACTTTTCGTTCAAATTTTGAATACCTACTTTAAGGGGTGCTATTACAAATTTGATAGATGCATTTAACATTTTATAGGAATTTGCAAAGAATGAATGGTGAGGTTTTATATTTGACGCACCAAAATAATCTAGAAAACGAAAAAACCACTTAATTGCGAAGAAATTAGGTACTACCATAATTTTTAAATTTTTACCTGAAAGTAAATATCATCAAATATTTAAAGAAATCATTGATCATATACTTTCTGACTTACAACTAAGATTTAACTCTGAAACTACATCATTTTTATTTAATGGGGATAGGATTTTAGTTGATCCAAAAATATTACCACAAACCACAGTCTACAGATAGTATGTGAATTTTATAAGGGTAATTAAAATATTAATAAACTAAAAGTTCACAAATATATGTTTCAATATATAATTAAAGGCCAAGACTTAATTCATTGTTTCATCGTTTGAATATTGCATATATTAAATATTTTTAAAAATAAATCACATTTGGACCGTTTGATTATTCATCTATCAAAGCTTAGGAAATACATATAATTGATTTTAACAGTAGGTACCTACCAGTCATTACACGCATTAAAAAAAAAGATTCTTTTCAATATCAAAAATATTAAAAAAATTATACAAAAAGTATTATGATACAGAACCGGTTGAATTATTTGGAAGTTCTAAATTGTCACAAAACAACTATAGAACATTTGGGCTTATGCAAAATAGGAAATATTATGTTTATCACAAAGTTCTCAACAAGAAAAAATACTTTAGCATTGAAATTAATACGTATGATTTTAGACAATATTTTCATAGATAAAGTTTGTTAAAAAAAAAAAATAATATTTTCATACATAAATGTTTTTTTTTAGTTTTAATTATTTTTGTAAATATTATCATCTCATAATATATCCTACTTGATCATTGTATCTACAAAATATTTTACAGATTGTAAGTTTCCTATTGTAATAAAAAAAAAAAAACCCATACCCAATAAAGAGAATTAGAATAATATTCACAAACAGTAGTATCTAACTGTACGAACTGTAGGTATATACAGACTTAAGAAAGATTTCTATAATATTGTCTACCTCATTTTAATACTTATGTTTAAACTTATTAATTTTGAAAAGCCTTTATTTTCATATATCATTATTACCCATAGATAAGTATAATACCTATGCTTAGTTACAACTATAAACACTTTCCTTTGGCAGAAAATCTAAAATTATATTATAAAGTTAAAAGAGAAAAAGTGATTATAAAAACTTTTAGTATGATATCATACAATTTTATAACTAGTAAATTATAAATAGATTAAGTATAAATGTATCAAAACTTAATTATTAAAAATCTACATCTAAATTAGGTAGCACAAATTAAGGATCTTGACATTTTTATCTGTAGTGATTTATTCTTTGTCCCACATATGTTGTGATAAAGAATAAACTTTTAGTTTCATAATAGTTATACACTGTGGTATTGTACCAAAATGTAAAGCACGACCTGTAAATTAACCCTTAATTATTCCTTAAAACAAATTTGCCTTTGCAAAATTTAAAGATGCTAAATACTTCAATTATGGCCGTACTGATCAAATGTATTAAGTTCAAAGAAGCTAAAGAACCAAATTTGTAATTTGGTTATTAATAGAAAAGTATTTAAATCATTTTGGTGTGGATAGGTTTCAAAGAATACACAGTTTAATATTTTGTGGATGGTTAAAAATGACTGAATTATCAAGATTATCAATTTATGCTTACATGTATCTTAGTTTGCAAATTCTTTTGTAAGATGGTTTGATAGTATAACCAACAGATACCTACATATTATATCATTCTGTAGCACAGACAGTTTGTGAGTTAAGATCACTAGCAAGAATAAGAGCATATTCAAATATTTAAAAGATTGAACACATAATAACACATAGTTATTTTATAACTTCAAATTCTACTGTTACTTAAATAATTATTTTCTATTCAGAATGAAATTTTAATAACATTAAACAATTTAAAATTTGTTTTTATTCATTGGAAATTATGTAATTTTTTTTAAATTATCATTGGCTCTGTCCAAAAGCCTAAAAATTTATTTTTTTTAATAAACATTTCAAGTATTTAAACTTTAAAGAAATTAAAACTATTGAATTAAAATTTTTACCATTGATAAAAAAATAAATTACTATTTGTTACATAAATAAAATTAAAAAAATGGGATAAAACTGTTAAAAAATTATAAATTCTATTTAAGAGTTTGGTGTAAACAAAAATAATATATTTTCTTATAAATTTATTCACAAAATCATAGGAAACTCGTATCAAATAGCCAATTATAAAATAGATAATATAATAAATTTAATTTATATTACAATTACATACATATTACATACAATAAATTTATTTTATTTTTCAATAAAAAAAATTGTCTAGAATTTATATAATATATAGGTTTATTGTAATTATTATATTTTCAATTGGTTCTTATGAAAATATACATACATACTTAATCATTAAACTATTAATTTCAAAATACATCACAGTGAAGTTAAAAAATACACATTTAAAGTTTTTAAATATACAACTAATATAAAAATACCTTATAGTATCATATAGAGAAATAACAAGGGAAAATAAGAGTAAACATAATTTAAGATCTAGTAATATATCAGTCTTATCAGAAAATTTATAAATTATTATCTAGTAAATGTTAAGCTCGTAGTTCATCTTTTTTATGTATAATTTTACTTGTTTTACAAACTTCTTGTCTAAGTTCCATTTGTCCAGTCGTCCTAAATGTTGAAGTTTTGAACATTTTTCAATAAATTTTATAACTGTCTGATGGTTAGTCTACAAATAAATTAATAAAATCATTCACTATAATATGTTGAAAATTATCTTAAAGTTACAACTTACAATTGGATGTTCATCGTTGAATGAAATTTCCAATCTTTTAAGATTATTGCACATGATTAATGGTGGTCTTTCAAAAACTTGTGTATTCCAATAAAGGTGTCTCGAATCACTATACAACTGAAAATTAATTTCAAATTTGTCTATTAAGTTTGGATAAATCTTGAACCAGAAATTTTTATTTATAAATTTAAGTTTTAAGATAAATAACTCTGATGCCGCCGGGGTACACAAACAATCGCTAAACATATTAATAGTAATCTAACAGTCCCTTAAACCTAATTAAGTGGCTCATAATTGGTTCATTAAATTAATCAATTTTTCATATAACCTGAAATAATCTCATAGCCTTTTGGCTTTTACACTATTTTCTAAAAAATTTAAATTATAAAACTAGATTAAGCACTATACTATTATTGTTTATTAATTATATATTATATTAATTTAGGAATAATGGTAAAAAATATAATGAAATTTGGAACGAACACTACTATGTAATGATGAACTTAAATTCATATATAAAGACATTGAGTGTTAAACTTAGCATGTAATTAATAATATTAAACATTATGTTGAACATTGGAATCATTCGATTACCACTTTTGTTTCCTCGCAGAGCAATAGAATTGGAGATCCAAGACTTTTTTTTTTTTTTAATTTAACTATAAAAATACTCATCTCAAAGAACTTTCTGTAACCTTTTAAGTGAGGATTTATTGGAACCTATACGTTTTTAACATTGATATCTGGTTGCCAAACACTTTTTTTTCAGATTGAAAGTAATTTTAATTACACTCTAGTACAGCGTTTCTCAAACTGTGGGTCGTTAGTCAATTTTTGATGGGTCGCGAACAATTTTTTAAATTATACAGATTCTAAGAAATGTATGTTAAATTAATATTAAATATATTATCATTAATAAAAGTACATTTGTAAAAATATATTGATTATAAACCTGTGCTTTAAACCTATAAACATATTTTGTTAAAAAAATTGAAATAAACTATATTATATTATTTAAAATAAAATTTTTTTTTTATTTAACTAAGTTTTGAAAAGTGAAACCATATGGGTCACTAAAGATTTTTCGGAGTAAATTTGGGTCGCGATACTAAAAAGATTGAGAACCGCTGCTCTAGTAGAATACATTTTAACCGTGTATAACCTTCCTTCAGAAAATATTTTATGAAGGTTTGGCATAAAAACTCATTCATCTAAAGCTTTGAGCTATTAATTGAAAACTATTGGTAAGTATATTACACTATTGTATTTTAGTTAAACACTTTCATTTCATATAATTTATTTTAATAGCAAAACGTACCTTGGCATCTTCTAAGCAAGGGCAGTTTTCGAAAAACCAATTAATTGTTTCAACGGTAGGCATATGTAATTCGATTGACTTTAATTTGGAAAATTTTCCGACAGGCATTTCAAAAATATGTAAAAATCCTTTAAGCACTAATAGATTTGGACAACTTGCTAGGAGTTTTGCTACATCTATATCAGCTTCCTAGAAATAATATCCTTTTATTAATGTATAAAATATGTAATAATATCTAGAAATTTTATGTTAATGTTAAAATATGACATGTACATATAAATGTTTAATGATGTCTACCTGATCAAGAATAGTGAGTTCAGACAAGTTGCGACCATAGTTAAATACAAAATTGATAAAATGAAAATTCATCATGTAATCAAGATCAATAGTTAATGTTTGTACACGACCCCAAAACATTGATCCTTGTTCTGGATCCGCAAAATCTTCAGGCGTACAAACACATGATAGTCGGGTGTACAGCTTTTTTAGATATGGTAGACATTCTTTGAGTGCAGCTATTTTTTTGCCTGTTAACTGCATATCATACAACTCGGTCAACTGAAATATCCGTGGCTTGGGAGAGTTCTCCCATACAGTTACCAAAGCATCACCAATATTCCTAAAAACCGATGTTATTTTTTCTTTTGATATTAAAAATATTAATGGTTGTTATTTTCTTACCTAAAGTAAAGGAAACCACCTAAGGCTTTAAGGCTCTTCACACATGCAATTATCATCAGTAAACTAGCATCTTCTGTATTTGTATCCTGAATTCGTAATTCTTCCAGAGTGAAACAACAGTTATTCAACAATGACTTATTATCATACATATGACTGAGATTTTTACACAGCATTTCATTTGATACATTGATTGTTTCCACATACACATCTTTCTAATGACATATCCACATCAGATGTAATGCAAGATAAGTTATAAAAATTTTTCTTTACTTTAAATAATAGTTGTTTGATGCCAGTTTCATCAACATTCCATGATCCAGATACATCTAAATGTTTTAAACATAAGGCATGTTCACCAATAGTTCTCAATATTGCATTATCACAAATAGCACCAAGCTTCAAATGAACAAGTTTTGATGCCAAACCTTCATGAAATGTTTTCTGAAGGTTATACATTGAGGCATACACTGCAGGAGTGTAATTATTTTTACTTGACATCTGCAAAAAAATATTAGACAATCAGATATCAATTTTCAAAATGCATGGGTTCCAATAACTCCTCACTTGAAAGGTCACAGAAAGTTCTTTGAGATGAGTATTGTTACGATTCAATATAGAAACAAACTCTTGAAATTCTAATTCCATTCCTCCATGAAGAAATAAAGGTGGTAATCGAGCTACTCCAATGTCCAACATGGCATTTAATATTATTAACCACATACTAAGTTTAACGCTCAAAATTTTTATATATGGATTTGTATCAATCAATACACAGTTGAGTTCGCCCCAAATTTCATTATCTTTTTCACCATTATCCCTAAATGAAAATAATATATAATTAATAAATGATAATAGTATAGTGCACAATCTAATTTTATAAATCAAATGTATTAAAAATTAGTGTAAAAGGCTAAGAGATATATTGGGTTGCATGAAAAATTGATTAACTTAATGATTTAATAAAATTGAATAGACCAATAATAGGTTTCTAAATCTTTAAAGGACCATTAACTCATTATTGACCGATTAAATTTTTAGTAATTATTGTTCATACAATCCAGCATGAGAATTATCCAACTTGAAACTTGGATTTGTAAACTAAAATTCCTTGTTCAGAATTTATTACAACACAATTCTTATCGCTACTTATTATATAAGTTTGATAATTAATTAAATATTGACTTACAGTAAGATTTTGGTATAGTTCAGGATGTTGGTCCTAGCCCAAGCATGTACATTATGGATAAAATATTCTCGTGATCCATTTACATCTTTTTTTATGTTATTAGTTATATTTAATATGTATTTGCATGTCTGTTCTAAAGCTAAAGTTTGTAGACTTTTTACAGAATTGTAAGGAGGCATAGTGATTTAAGCTGTTACAATATCTAAAATAAAATAAATAAAAACAAATTAGATCAATATTTTGTAATATTTAACTTAGGTAGATAAGTTCTATTCATATACAGCTGTTTCATTTAAAGTAGTCCTACATAAAATTACTAAAAAAAAGGTTTATGATTTCTGTTAAACAGTCAAGATATACTTTTTATAGATTTAACTTATTTATATAAGTGATGTCAATGCAATTATTTTAAATTACTGTTAAGTAATAATGAAATAGCAAAACTAGACTATAAAAATGATAATTAATAAACAAATAAAGTTAAAATCCTAGTTAACGTTTAAAAACTAAAGCACTGTTTCAAATGTTTTAATATTTTTTACAATGCAGCAGTTACATAAACATAAAAGTATAAGATCATATTATACATTATAGGTAAATAAAAAAAAAACAATTACCATCAAAAAACTACATTTTTTTAGGTGTATAAATAAGTGATAAAACAAAGTTGAATATAATTTGATGAACAGAGAATAAACAAAAGCCTCAGTTATTCAGTGAAGAAAGTAAGATATAACAACCGTAAAAAAAAATAACAATTGAAGAGCGACACGCTACTTGGACAGTAGATAGTTCATCAATCCCCCAAACAATGACCTATGGTGTTGAAATTTTGATTGTCCCCGAATTAACTATGTTAACAAAAACTAGTTAGAAACATCAGAAAGATAGAATACTTGTAAGACAAATAAAATTACTTGCTTGTCTACAAACATCAGAGTTGAATACTCTTTGTTTTGTCTGTTTTTTAGTTATGTATCTATCCCTACTAATAAAATAATGACAATCAATTAAACCAAATTTAACTAAAAAACTTTAAACTTTAACTCATGAAATTTACGAGATACTCACTAGAAAAAAAATGAAACGAATTTCGTTAGTGCCTTCAACTTGACACTGAAATCAGCATTTGAATTTCAAATTGAACGCGTTGCTTCTGTTGCTAATTCAACTGAACTATTGTTTTTTACACAGCGGCGGCGGGTCGGTCGCCTGCTTGCCGGATCGAGTGTTTCCTATGCACGTACTTACATCCGTAGACCAAATTCGTCGGTTGTTTCGATAACTTTTTTTCGTTTCTGTCTCTCTCACATAACCTGTTCACCTTTTTCTCTCTACAGGTAACGTTTTACACCTATTGCATGTCTCTCCCTACTTAGATTCAGTCGTTCTCTCTTGTCCGTCCGGACAGGCGGCTTAGGAAAAAAATAAAAATATTTGATGAGTGGGGGGTGTTGTCCTGGTGAGGGAGAAGGGAGATTAGAGATTTAGATTAAGCAGTAAACACATTACTCATTATAGTTTTAGACTGGGACTGACGAGCCGACGAGCGACGACTGGCGAATTAGCGATACTGATATAGCTACGAGTCTACGACAATAGTGATGACAAATAAAACACAATGATGATAAATAATAATAATAATAATAAAATCACGGTCCTGTTTATCCGACATGATAACGCGTATCATCGTAGTTTACGATAAGGTCATGCCACGGGATAAAATATGAAATTTTATCGTTCGCCTTATACGCATGTCCACAGATATGTACAAACACTACGAACTACAAATAACTATGTAGACAGGCAAATAGCCATCTTTATATTACATATAAATAGTCAATAGACAATGGTTGTGTTGATTCGTTGATTGAAGTTAGCCGTCGTATGCAAAGCAGAAATGTTCACGTTTTGTATAAATCTATATTTATATTTTATAGGTAATTACCTTTATTGCTTGCCAAACAATTAATGTCACTATGGCTGAGTATGGCAACATAGTCGCACAGATTTATATACTGCACTAGTGCACTACAACTACAACACTATAATAGTATAGGTAATATATTATATTAATATTTTATGTTGGGTTGCATAAAAAAAATTACCAAACGTTTAATGAATTAATAATGGAGTCATGACCATTCCAAGATTGAATTCTTAAATTGCATTGAATCATCGAATTAATAACATATTTTTCACAAAACTCAGCAATACAAATATAATACATAAAAGTCTGCGTATGACAGTTAATTTCAACGATGACAAAAAGATGAATATGTTGTTACTCTGAAATTCGTTAGTCCAAACCGGTGCAAAAAAAATGCATATTATGTATTCGTATCGAACTGTTGGACCGTAATATCACAGAGCAAACATCCAAATGCGCTTTTTTCGTCACACCGGTTTGGGTCTGGGTGACCGTATTTCTCGTGTAACTGTGGTCGTACCATAGTCCATAGAATACAATCATCATTACCGTTGATCGTAGAATACGTTCTACATAGTAAATTGTGTTTATTGTGATTATTTTCAGTCTATCGAACGTAGCACCGTCGTAATTTACCTTTCTGCCATGGTCGTCATTCGTCACATTGTCGATATTCGATAGTATACGATTTCACAAATTACGATTATCGTCGCTATCTGTCTCTTAATCTCTATAAATCCGCGGACGGTCGTTCGCTCATCCAAAACACGCATCGCGGGGTCTAAGACCTGAACGTCCTGAACCGCGTCGTGTTGTTTATCGTATTGGGTCAATGGCAGTTGGTCGACCGACATTTGAACTCGTCGTACCCGCTCACCGTGTACACTTCCACAATTCAACCCCTCCTGGCCCCCCGACCGTACCACGGCATTGACCTGCCGCTGCCGTAATCGCGAACGCCCTGACAATATATATTATATTATGTAAATGAGTTTAAATTTACATTTTACACGCGCATTAACGTATTTTTTTTCATTTGTTCCGTACCCACTCATAATCACCGAAATTCCAACGTATATACCTACGTGAACTTGAGCCCATCTTTTCAATGCTGCAGGTGACAATAGTCTCTAAGACTCTATAGTCTTACATCCATTATTAATCGTAGTTGCGAATAATCATGAGCTTCACAGTTTTTATAAACTGACGCGTAACTGATTGCAAGACTCAAATGATTAAATCTTTGAAAAGTATGATATGAATCAAAATTCAAAAAAGCATAGTTTAGAAAAAATATCTAGATTGTAATACTTGAAAAAGAATAATTTAAAATGACAAATTTTGATCAGTTTTCTATTTAGAAAATAATAATATTGAAATTTAAATTCAAAATAATAAAACTTTAAAAAGCAATATATGAAAAAATTGGTAATTGTTCGTTATTGCTTAGCCATAATTTTTCATAATGAACCTAATCATAATGTATAAACTATAAAGTGTATATCAATACGCCTACAATAGAAGACCGAATATACTAATATTATACGTAAACGTAATTATTAATTTTAACGCACGTAAAATGAGCACGGTTATTAGCTTTAAAACCTAATTTGAGCGCGTATGACATGTCGATACAAAATACAATTTGATACAATTTTTTGAATAATCTATAAAATATGATATATAAAATAATTTAAGGATTTTTTTTCAATTTTTATCTAGTACATCGTATATGATTATGTTTTAAACATTTAATTACATCTACAATTAGGAGTATAAAATTCCTTATGACTCTAAAGGACTAAACAATTTTAAAATATACATTCATTTATGCCATAGGCAAAGTTACTTGAACATACTAAAAAAACGAAAATTTCACGCCAACGGGAAACTCACGTGGACAAACATACTAATATTTAATTAAACATTCTTACGGATGATTTTTTGATTTTGTTTTTTTTTTTTATAAATTAAAGAAAAACTAAATACTCACCTTTAAATATAATGTGAAATACGCAACTAAAATAGAAAAAAATAAATAGGTAGAAGAATAAAAATAATTTTTCCTTGCATATTATTGTGTAAATTAATATAGTATTGTACTATTGTCCTGAACATTTTTTATTTCGTTTCATTTTCATATAATTCTTTTATTACTTCATCGATATAAATTTCGTTAGTAAATCTACCGTGAATAAGGAGTTATTTTTTCCGTTGTCCATTGACTTTTTGTAATCTTCGTTCGAAAATTCGTAGCAAAATTATCTATTTAATTTTAGATATTTAGAAATTAATTAATTTAAGATTTTTACAAACATTATCTGCAACAATTCAGAGCTCTACTTTAAAAATTATTATACGGCTAACAATAATATTTTTATTAATTATTAATAAAAAGTGAAATTCAAAAATATAATTGGCTATAAATTACTTAAAATTGGTATTACCTCATGTTATTTGTCTCTTATCATGTATATTTATTATGTTATCTGTTTTCTGATATAGGTACATTGTATATTTCGACTAAAAAAAAAAAAGAAAAATTTGGTATTACATCATAATTGGCATATCTAACTTTTAATGTACATGTGTCTGACCCACATTGCTGTAAAAACTTTCTGGAGCTACGCCTTTTGATATGGTTTAGTGATTAGTGGTATGATAGGATGGCTAGATAAAATTTTAAGAAATCCGAAACACCAAAATTATAAATTGTTGTACATAATAATAAAATTATTAATGGCAAGTTATACGCAGTACGCTGAAATCATCAGTAGGTTTAAATTTTTAATAAATGGAAAATCATTTTGCAACTTTTCATCAACATGACTGAGTATTTTAGGTGACATAGTCACTATAGACACTAAGTAAAAAAAAAAATAAACCACCTAAATAAAATTACGACACTATGTCACTATATAAAATATAAATACGTGCAAAACTGTCGTCTGTCGCTCAATTTCACACTCGCGTACGAATTGTAATAATTGTATTGTCGCAAAATAAATGCGTAATGTGTAGTGCGTACCGAGTACACTGACCACAGATGTTATGAACTATAAACTATACATTATATTAATATTATCTTTCGAAATCGTTGTTCAAGAAATTGAATAATCATAACATGGTTTTTCCAACTGTAAATTAATGTGGTCGGAAGCCAAAGGCAAAAGGTTGGCTAAATTATTTAGAAAGCGATTATTACTGTCGTCGTCATAAGTTCCGATGTTCGTTATAAAATATTGTTATAATAATTATAGATATTTACAATTAGGTTTTTTTGAAAATAAAACCGACCACCGACCAAGTTAAAGAATTATAAGACAATATTAAATTCCGGGAAATTACTATGCAATATGTAGTTCAAAATCGTTGTCTCGAGAAACTTTGTCTGGAACCTCGGGACATGGGTTCTTAAACTGGTAACGTTCCGAAAAATCTGGGACGAATGGCTACCCTATGATATTATATACTGCATATTCAACGGTCGTCATAACCACAAATTTTCAAAATAAAGTCATTATTCAAATCAGTACACTTATATATAAATTTGACATAATCAAACCATTCAATACCGCACACATTAGTATATATCATTTGTATCAATAATACACGCACATTTATCTAAAATCACATTATCGTTTAGAACCGCACACTAGTAAATTATATTTAATCAAAATCATAAAAATAAAACTTTGGAATTATCTACAGATTGCTTTACTATAATAGGTATATTACACAAATTTCGTTTCTCTAGATCAACAACACTTAGTGTAATCGTGTCTTTTATCGATTTCACTTATAATTTAATACTAATTTATATTAACAATTTAACATTAAATTCGCATAATGGACAACGAGCTACAATTTTACACTGATAATAAAAATGCGTACAATCAATAATTTTCCAAAACTATGCATATAGATTATTTTGGATCTATATTATACCTAATTACTGTTCTAATAGATCAAAATTATCGTAAATATGTAACATTGTAGTTGTTCTCAAATAATATTATGTACTTATAAATTATAATATATTTATATGTGTAATGTTTTTGGTAAAAGTTAGATCAATCTTCACGATATATACTACTTAAAACATAGAAAAATAAATTACAAACAGTAATATAAATTAATCAAAAATATCCTTTAAAAAAGGTTGAAAATCATCTCAAGGATTCAATACACATCATTCAAAATAACTCAATAAGTTACGAAAAATATGTCAAAATATGTGATGGGGGGGGGGCACAGAAATGTAGCTAAATTGCCTACACAAATCGCCGCAACATTGCTAAGCTGTGATGTGATCATGGTTTATTTATTGAAATTGAAACAAACAAATAAATGTATTTTAGATAATAAGTCAAAGCCAATTTTAATATCTTAGTGTGCTTTATTTTCCAGGTGGGTATCACTTATAAAATATTATTTATGAATTATAAGTCATTACTCATTACTTATTATAAATTGTATGATAAACGTTTGTTTAGATTATTCAAGTAAACGAAAAATAATAAATAGAAAAACACATTTGGAAATAATGAATAAACATTAAAATACGTATACAAATAATATAATGTAAATTTATGAATGATAAAAATTATAAATACATAATAATATTATACAAGATAGTATTAAAGTAGGCTAAAATAAACTTTATATTGAAGTTAAAGTTTTTTATGTTAATTTATTAATTTACGTATTAATTATTTATGGTCGCTGGAGTATGAGCAATTAAAAACATTTTGTATTGAATTGTCAATTTTCTGAAATCAAAAACAAAAATGTTTGCATCACGGGTAAAAAAAATCGAAAATTTCAAATCGCAATGATTTTTATTTTTTATACAATCTTGAAGATTTAGTACAAGATTCTTTGTATACTTTCCTTATGAAAATTATAAAAAGTTTAACTTATTGTCAAATTTATTTTTATGATCGTTTTAAGTAAAAATGTTGATAAAATTAGATATTTTTTTTCTTCTAAAAATATGATTTACAGTAATTTTAAATAAGTACTCTATCAGTTCTATGATTATCATTTTCTATACTCAGTTAAATTTTCAAAATATCTAAATTAATTTTAAGCTACTACATATTTATCAAGTTAGGCTTATAACTCAAAACTATTTACATTTTTCTATAGCATGTCGGTATTAACTAAAAAGTTAGTAACATATTATGATATTAGATTTAAATAAATACATAAACTATAATAACAATTTATAAAATAACATATGATATTTTTTCGATAAAAATTAATTTTACTTACTTATCTAATTACCCGTATAAATTACTATAATATTAATATAATCATATATCTATTGAAATATTTTAATAATTGTAGATTGACACAAGCCTCCACAGGCTATCGTTTTTCGTATGGTATGATTGTATGAATTAACATTTACTTCCATTCAAACACATCCATTTCAATATTACAGTGACTGAGTGACCTATTCAAGGTATACTTGACTAATTAACGTTTTTTTCCTGAAATTATACAGCAGAGAGGCAAGTGGCTACTTACTATCACGGCTGTAGAATGTATACTAGATAATAAACTTTATTACTATCTAGAGACACGTGTCTATTAAGCATGTTTTCACGGAGATAACAAAAGTAAACGGTTTACTAGGTCTTGAGTGTTAACAGATACAACATATTTGATATTATAAAGTTTTTTATCGCTAAAACGTTCCATAAAGATATTTGTATTAAACATATTGTATTGTCTGCAGGCGTATAAGAAACCGTTGTAATAGTTAGTCAATTAAAGGAGTAAACATTTTAGTAAACGATTTCTAGTTTTGACATAGAGCGTCAAAATGATTTTTAGTAAACTGTTTGTTCTCGATGCCTCCGCGTAAACGTGCTTATCATCGTATATTATGGATAGGTATATATTCGTATATAATGTCCATGTGATCGACTAGCTCTTTGCCCGTTGCCCTGTTACTTGCCCGCTTTTTTAAATGATAACAATCGGCATACTGATAAGGGCATAAATGATAGTGATTCTTACGTAACCACAGGTCTATGGATTTAATGAACATTTTTCATTAATCTGTAGACTGTTATAGAATTTATGAGTTATAACGAGTGAGATAAAAATTAATAACATTAAACAAGTACCTACCTAATAAAACTATGTTTTCGAAAAAAAATTTTAACATTAATATATTATGCACGATTATATTTTAAACACGGTTAAGATTTTTTTTTTACTTGTTTCACAGATCACAATGAATTAATGAATGTCGTCACTCATTGGATTTTGGGATAGTTGAACGTTGAACAGTCAGATTTTAGATTGCCAATATGTCATCGTCTTCTGCTCGTGCATATGAGTGGAATTGGTGAGTAAGATTTATGTGTTGGTTGATGGTAGTTTGTGATGTTATGAAATTCAATATTATTATTAATTAATACATAATATTTTGTAACTTAATGTTTTTAACTTAATAGGTACAGTAAACCAATTATTAACCATAAGCGTAAGCAAAAATGTGTTCTAGAAAAATGTGGTGAAAATCATCCATTAAAAAGTTTAACTGAAGTAAGTAATTTCATGTTGTTACTTGTTTAATATGTGTACTAAATTATGTAAATAATTGTTTTTGTTGGAAATTCAAATTAAATGTCCCTAACAATTATATTCATTTAAAAATAATTGGAATAGTATTAATGATGTATGATATTGATTTATCCATAAGTCAATAAGCACATAAAAATAATAGATTTTATATTATATTACCTACCATATTTTTGTATTTTGATTTTTGGCTAATTGAAAAAAGAATAAATTAAATAAAAAATAAAAATTATTCCTCAGTTTTATTAATTAAGGAATATTTTCAGTTTCAAATAAATAACTTTTCTTATTTTTGATTATTCTTACTTTTAATCAATATATTACAGCTGTTGTATACATTTTTATTTTTTACTTCAGTTAAAAATTCAAAAATAAATTTTCTTAATTTTAACTATTTACTCATTATTAACATTTTAATATGATTTTAGGTAACCACTAAAAATGCACTTGTTAATGATCCATTATCGTCCACTATTACTTATGGGGATGATCCACTCAGTCGACCTGCTCAGTTAATACCCACTGATTTTGATGAAATAGATAATGACTGTTTTGATGATGTTCAATCATGGTCTAATTTTAAACAGAGTATATTAAACAGTTATACGACTTCTGAAAAGCTCTCATTTCATGCATGTTAGTATAAATTGTAAATATTGATGTATTTTTTGTTGATAATATTACCATTTTATCAGTATCATAAATATTATTATTATTACTTCAGTTTCAAAAAATCTTCAGAGTGCTACAATACGATCGCGTCTTGAAGAACTAGAAGAATTTGATGACCAGATGGAATATTCAGAAAAAGAACTATATGACTTAACGCAACAGGAATTTGTAACGCATATGGATAACTTGGGTAAAGAAATTATAGAGGCATGGAATAATGAACAAAGAGTGAAAGCATTGAAAATAGTCATACAGGTATTTATTTTAGTAGTTTTAAATATATTGTGAAAAAGTTATAACTATCTACACATGAGTAAATGTTTTTTTAGTGTACCAAGATTTTAAGTTACACTTCACCATTGCAATTTTATCCGAGTAAATTTGTTTTAGTAACAGATCTATTAGACTTATTTGGAGATCTAGTATTCAAGAGACTTCAATCTAAATCAGAAATAATTGAGTATGATACACACACACACACACAAATAATATATATATATAATAGTTATAGAGGATGATTTACCTAGTAAGTTCACGACCATTTATTTCTTAAATAATATCAATAAAATTCTGATTTTTGAAATTTAAAATATATTTTAAGAGTAAAGACCATGTTTTTAATACAATTTAAGAAGTTTTTTGTAGTTATACCAATTTATTTTTTTCAGATGAAAATCACTCTATATTTTTATAAATTGTTAACTTGACAATTATTTAAAATTGTTGAAATTTTTAAATTAAAATTTGAACGAGTAGTTTTTGAGTTATTTAATGTTGTTGTGCTTAGGATAATACATTAATAATGAGTTTGAAAAATATGAAGCCTTTAATTATTCAAACATTTTATAAATATTATGTTAATCTATCAACATCTTGTAATTTATAAAAGTTTGTCAGAATATAGTAAATACCTAATCCAGTATTTATTTATTTTTCATATTTTTGTAAAACAATTTTTAAAGACTTTTATTAATAGAATATAGCATATACATTTTAATAACAACTCAAGAAACTGATCAAAAATGATGCAATTTTTTTCAAATTATCTATGGCCTTAGTGGTGTTTGCAAGTGGAGAACAAAAAACATATTCATTTAAAAAAAAAACCAGAATAATCATATCTTGCAAATACCAGTAATTGTGCACATGGTGCCACATCTGTTGATTCATCAAGTTGAATTGAAAATAGGCCAAAGGTATTAGTCTTAAATCTCATATTCTCATGTCATCAGTTTTTCTTTGAATAGTGTTGTCTTTTAATAAAATTGAAGCAAGCTTTTTTCTAATCTATTTTCCAATACAATTTCACCATTTTAATGGCTTTTTTAAAGTTTCACTAATTGAATGTGGTTTTTTTTTTTGTTTTGTTATTTCTAAAGCAACTGAATAAGAAGCTTCAGTAATTTTATGATTGGTCCCTTGAAAAAGTCTAGTTATACCCAATATAATTTTTTTTTTTACTTAATATTCATATTATGTTCGAAAAAACTTTTGTCCTTGCCTTTATGTTGAGGATGAACATTTTCTAAATATTGCTTTAATTACTTTTTAGTAAATCATCCTTTATACATAAATATGGTAACATTAAAATACAATAAATTATTGATTATAATTTTATATTTTAGTGGTCGCGTATCAAAACTTCCAGATAATTTCACTCCTGATATGGTGCCAGATGCAGCAAAAGAAACTTGTCAAAATTGGTTTTTTAAAATTGCATCCATCCGTGAGCTTATACCTAGACTGTACATTGAAGCAGCTATTGTACGCAGTTATCGTTTCATTAAACCAGAGTTAGTATGTTAAATTTTTTTTCACAAACTGTTTATAATGATTTTATTTTAACAGTGAACAAAATGTTGCTCTCTTAAGACTTATAAAAATGGTAAGAGGTATTGGTAATCCATTAGTTGCATGGTATGCAAGATGTTATTTGTGCAGAATTGGTGTTTTGACAAATTTAAGCGTAAATTATTTTGAAGAAAGCTTCAAAGATATCTTATTGACATATAAGCAGGTAAATTATCATGATTTTTTTTTTAAGGTAAATCTTATTATAATTAATTGAATGTGTTTTTTTTTCAAAGTTGAACAATAGATTTGTGTGTAAAGAGATTCAAACTCAAAATATGAATATGGACAAATTTTTTCAACTTTTGTGCCCGGCATTAGAGTGGATAGTAAAGGGATTAAGTGCTGGTAAAGATCCACATAGTCTTGATGAAATTATTCGGTGGTGTACTTTACAAAACCTTCAGTATGTTGTTTTAAAATGTATATATATACTTTACTAATTGTTTTCATTTACATATTATTGTTAATAGTATATATTTATTTTCAGTGGTCTTCTAATCAACACTATAGTGATCACATTTCCTGGGAATTATCTCTCAATGAAAGCAGAATATCTTATTAATTTAATTGCTAAATGGGAATATGATGGTTTGTTTTAATTGTTATTTTAACTAATTTAGTATGAATTAAGGTTACTGTACTGCAACGGCTGCTGAAACATTTTTACTATCTTTTATTATTGCAGTTATGTCCATTTTAACACTACTACTGTAGTCTTGGGGGGGGGGATCTTATGGTTACTTTTGTATAACTTAATATAACTATTAATTTATTTTTAATACATTTTATGTTTTAGTTTTTCCGCAATCTTTAGTTGTACAAAATCTTGGTATAAGTTTGAGAGGCCATTTGGTACCAAATGCTTCAAATGTTTTTAGAGAAGCATGGAAAATAGTGAATAAAGTTAAAGACTCTGAAAGGTTTATGTCATGTGCTGAAGCATGGATATACTTCATTGTAAAGCATTTTAAGGTGAATATTTATTACTTATCTCAATTAACATCTTTAATAGTAAACCAAAAATTTTATTGAAATAATGTTTTGAATACTTTTAGATTCTGATAGAAGTGATAAATATATTAACTTTACAATTATGTTTTTTTTTTGGGGAGCGGGGGGTGCCATAATCTCTTAAAGCATTAAAATTGCTTCAATCTTCAATTTTAAGAGAGATTTTTTTTTGGTAGAAAATTGGATTTAGTACATTGAAAGGGTCAAAAGTAAAATATCAGTTTTTTTTTTTTTTTTAAATAATTAAATTAATGAAAAAAATGGTAAATTTTACATGAAACCAGATTTTAATAAAATTGATTTTTTTAATTTTTATTTAGTTTAAAAATCAATAACTACAAAGACTTAAATCTTTTTTTAGATACCTGTATTAATATTTTTTAGAATTAATACAAATTTGAAAATATTTTAGTTTTTTTTTATACTATTTATAAACATATTCTCCCTTTTTTCACGATTTATGTGTTCAAAAAATTTTGTTTGTCCATAAAAAATAACATATAACTTTAATTTAACATTTTTAACTTATTTTTATGATGATTGTACAAATTAAATAACATGTACAATATGTGTCTAAAATTAGTTCAACTTATCTTGTTTTGGCATATTTAGGTTTTTGTTATAGAAGGGGGGGATATAACTTAATATAACAATTACCAACTTGAGGGGGGCTCGGCCCCTCACCACTAAATTTCCAGGAATTATAATAGCTTTTTATAATAAATTAATAGCTATTAAATATACATTCTATGCTTAAATATGTTGCCAAAATTATAATATATAACACATTACTTAAGATTAAATGTTTTATTGATACAAAATCGAATGCTAGATTAAATATGAATAATATGATGACTATAATTTGTGTATATACATTATACAGCCTATGGGGGAGGGGATTTATCCCCTTGATCCCCCTCCCATAAATATGTCACTGCCATGTTCTAATAACAGTATAAATGTGTAATAAAGTCTCCTAAGAAATGTAGACTGACAGACTATCTCTGCTTATTGAAAACAAATTAAACACATCCATTACTGTAATCTACTCAATGATAAAGTATACTCAATACCTACTATGGAACAGAATAATTTCCATGAATTTTAATACATTTTTCACAATATTTAAATTAAGTTGTTTTATTACTATTACATATTTTACCTTGAAATAGTAAAATCAATTAATATAGATGTGAGTGCTGATGTTAGTTTTAAATGATGCTGTATAAAAATAAAATCTGAGATAGAAGGTACTTGTAAATAGTGAATTTGTTACACTAAAATGCTGGACAAATTTCATGTATTTATATCCAAATATTTATAACTTAAATACCTATATCCTACTATCGTCTACTAAGAAACAACTCATATCTAAATTAAGTATTTCATCCATAATACTTATACATAAATACATAATGATATGCACCACTACGAATAGTTCAACACATAATACTAATATTTCTAATGAGACTTAGTATGTTTTAAAACATAACAATTAAAAATGTAATTCTTTTATTTAAACAATTTTGTCAATTATGTTATTTTAATTTTTAGTCAGTAATAAAAACACTGACACTTTTAAGTCAATTTGAAAAAAAACTATAGTTTATATTCAGTATTGTAATTACAGTTTCAGACAATAAGTAGTTTTTATCATCATTATCTTCATTTTAGTCAATAACAGTTATCTTAAACATAATTGCATAAAGCAAACCTCATATAGCTTGAATGGAATTAAATACATATATTATGTATAGCCAAACTGCTTAACATTAAAATAATTATTAATTCAAGAAAAGAAAAGAAATAAGTCTATAAAAAATAATATTACTAATATTGTACGCTAACACATACTGCCATAAAATTTTTTTTCGCAAAATTCCACCATTAATTATGATAAAAAATGTGTATTTTTTAAATGTATTTATTATTTAAAATTAACATTGTCTAAGAAACATTAGGGTCTTGATAACAATTAGTGTACTTTTAAAATACTAGTTGAAATAATAAATTATTTGAATATGAATTTTAAGCAATCCAGATAAAAGTTTAAAACTATACTTATTGCAGAACTTTAAAAAACTAACCAAACTAATAAAATTATTGCTTTTTTTTAAATTTTTTATGTTATTAAAAGCTAGTATTATTTTTTTTTAATTCTTTGCATTTCTTAACATTACTATTTTACATTGATACAAGATACTATTTTGTAAGATACTCAAATGCGTGTAATTAATGATAAATTATGTTTATTACTTAAAGAATAAAGAAATAGGTGTCTTTATGGATGATATAACAAGACATCTGAGCAATCGTGTCGGAATAGAACGGTTTCATACACAGCTTCACAACATTTTGCAACATCTACTGAATTACATAGAAGACTTCGAGGATACATTCCATATGGTGAGTTTCTCATTGTCCAAATCGAAATAAAGTTTAAAGATTAAAAACGTTTAATGCATGCGTCTAGAACTATTTATTGCCGTACTTGGACATGTTTGGATCTGATACAAATAAATCAGCAAGGTGCAAGATTGTGTTGGAAGCGTATCGGGCGCGTGGTGAGAACGTCGAGTCCAGTGATCCCTTGATCAACGATTGTCTGATGTACATGTGCAAGATTTTACATGATTCCGTCGAGTACGTAGTTCATGATCAACGGCTAACATATCCAATTCATAAACCATTTCCGTTATATTGTTTTCAGCTCGTTGACCGTCGAAGACGAAGTGCGTCAAATTAGTCGCTTGATAGCCTGTTTTATATTCCGTGTCGATTATGGCAATGATTTAGAAAAATATTTGAATTTTTATATGGAAGCTAGGGGAGCGTTCATTAGGTTAGACTATGTGCAATCCGCACTCGTACAGGTGAGACAGAATTCATCCCCACATTGGCCTTATTCTTATAGAAGGGACCTAATTTTTTCGATTGCATTAAGTCAGATGTTCATAAGTGTATAATATTGGTTATTTTTAAAACTGATAAATATACTTATTAGCTATTTATATTGTCATAATAATATTATACGAAATGTAAACAGTACCGGAATTTAGAACAAATGTCACCCTAGGCCCTTTAAAATATTATGCCCCTACCCCAAGAAAAAATATATATTCTCAAATTTATGAATTTACTTTTATGTTTTTCAGATATATATATTAAATATTATGTAATATTAATTTATGCAGTTATATAAATGTTTAAATAACTGTTTTTCCATTTCTTATAAAATTTGCCGCCCTAGGCCCCTAATTCACGGGTCTAGACGTAAATCCGACCCTGAATGCAAACATTTAAATTTTTAAATTTAAAAAAATAGAATAATATATTGTTAATTTATTGTAATTGCAGTATTGGTATTCCCCAAATCCTATTGTCTATTAGAATAAGGTCTGTTTAAAACATATAAATAATTAAAACCAAAATACTTAATAACGTGCTTGTGTGATGATAATTTAGTGTGTCAACAAACTTATGGTCCTGTCCGTATCGAATTCAAGGGCCCTGGTTAAGAACTCTTTTGCCCGTGCCTGTTCTGCGTACTGTTACATTACCATTCCATCAATAACTTCACCACTCGTCAAACTTCAACTATATATTTTAACTGGACAGACTTCGTTGTTAAATGGTTGTCTAGGACAAGGTATGGGTTTTTAATGAAATATTTTTAAATGCATAATGTGTATTAGTAGGCATAATTAAGGAAGGTACTATGAAGTTAATGTTATGTTTAGTGAATGATTGTTAAAATTGTTATAAAGGGGTTGGTGGATCAACATCAATATAACACTTAAAAAAGTTAATCCAAATTGTGTTTATGCAGTTATGTTGGAACAAATTATCTATTTGATTAATTGTTAATCATGGCTATTAACATTTATAAAGATAACATCAATTGAAAAAAATTACACAGATTTCAATGAATATAAATTTAAATAATTTTTCAAACAAAAAAAAAATAAAAACAGCACACCACTTGATATTTTTTTTCTAAAAGAAAAATATATGTATCATAAATATGTTATTGGGAGGGGAAAAAATTAATTATAAGTTATTAAATTTTTTTTTGTTACTAAAGTAATGAAAATATATTTAGAGTATTATAAAAATCGGTTTAAAAAAAAAGTTGTATCCAGCCCAAAAACATATTTATGTTAAAATAAATAAAGCTCAACAAAATAAATCATGAGTTATCGGGTATAATTATAATATAATATTATATTATTTTTCAGTTAAGTTTTGCTTGTTTTATCATCAATAGTAATTCATCTTGATCCTTATTATTATACCTACCTATTGACAGGTTCTATAAACATATATTTATTGGAATTTTGTTGATTTTAAGTTATGAGTGTGCTTCATTTCTTTAAAACTCATTCATATAGGTTATAATCTGCAGTGCTTGAATCGAGAAGGAATGGTGACTTGATTTTTAAAAAATATTTGTGCATACCCCATTTAATTAAGTCCTGCTCAATAAGAATTTAAATATTCGGGTACTCGCAATTTTTTTCCACATTTTTAAATCCCTCTTCTAGTATTTTCTAAATAAAGCACTGGTTATAGCCTATAGGTAATCATAGTTTTTCACCCATTACTGCACCTATGATGGTGCAGTGATGTGTCGTCAACAATAACGCACAAATCAATCATCATTTGTATTTAATTCGAATTTCAGCGGACGCGTGTCTTAAAGCAGCTTCCATAGCGGTCAGCGATTTTCCTGCGACGTTGGAAGTGGACGGAATTATCATCGACGCTGAACCTATACTCGTCTCATACATTAAGCAAATGCTGTCGATCTTACTCGTCGTGCCGGTAATACACCCATCCCACGTTGTTCACGATGGCTCATAAAATATAAATTTATTAACATATATCATATAATGTATGTGCAACGCTTTTCTCTAGGATTGTCCCGATCTTGAAGTGTTGCACCAGATGAAGTTGCTAATCAGAGCTATAAAACAATATTCGTGGACTGATCCTATGCAACCACATATGCTCTATTTGTACGTACTGGACATATTAGCCACTGCAACTCTGGATACGTATCCTTACAGAATACCCGACGGCAAGTATATATATATATATATATATATTTATTATGTTTTAATAGTTTAATATTGCTATTTAATGTTTATGACAAAGATGAATCTAGAAAAAACAATCAAAAATGCTGTAGTTTGTTTTAGAGTCATCCTAAAGTTGTTTGGGATCAAGAATAAATTAACTTCCAATACTCAAATAAGCTTATTCAAATTTATGATATTTTATTGTTAATATAATTTTGAGTTTTCCCTATTGCACTCTGGCAACAGTATAGCTATAAAACTAAACAGTAAACACTAATTAATAAAAAAGTAATAATACTAATAATGATGCATGTTTTGCATCTTACGTTTGCAGAGAGGTTAATTACTTTAGTATGTCATTAGGAAATATTATAGACTATTTTTTTTTATTCATATTACCAGACTATAATATGCACAAATATTTTATTGATAAAAGGATGGAAAATAGGGTAAGAAATTATGTACTTTTCCCCCCTCCCCCAATAATAATAAAAAATCTGCGTTTGTAAGTTTATGACTTTTTTTCATTTATAATTATTAATTGCAAACTTTTACGCTGCTAATATGTGTGATGTCTCAACAGTGGACTCCAATGATGTACTGTATGGTCGTGAACCACAGTTTGTGGCTGATGTAGACTCGATTTGTACCGTGGTGTTGGACAATATACTTGAACGATTGTATAGTCTAGTGGATAAACCAAGCAGCCAAGTATGTCTGAAAAAAAATAAATAATATCTAATGACTGGTGACACTTACGACTTGTTTTACAGTCAAAATTGGCGTTTGAATTACTCCTGCACGTTGTTGTTAGAGCGGACTTGAACGAAATCCAAATGGCCACATTAGCAGTCAACCTCTGGAAGTTATCAAAAAAAAACAAAACGGCTAAGGACTCCAAGATCAATGTAAATTTATTGTTTAATACCATACATGTTTTTATGTTATTGGTCAAATTATACCATACTATCTAAATTTTATTTTATAGGAAAAAATGTTAACGTACATTATAGAGTTTTGTGAAAACGAAGATGATGAAATTTATCATAAATTTATAAACAAAATCACAGGAAAGCCCACTGGATCATCAATTAAAAAAGAATAGTACCTAGTATAGTTTAATATAATATTACATTTATATTATTTATATTTATATTTATTATCCAATAGCAAATTTATTTAAGACTTTTTGTATTAGATATATAAGTTGATTGTTATCGTTTTTATAAATATATAGATACTTGGTCATTACTCATTATATAATACATTTTAAAATACATCACATTGAGATTAAAAAATAGCTTTTAAATTTATAACTAGTATTATAAAAATATCTTACAATGTCATACAGACGATCAACAAGAGTAAAGGCGAGTAAACATAATTTATCAGAATTTATATAATATTATCATCTAGTACCTAAGTGTTAAGCTCATAATTTATCCTTTTGTATTTAGTTTTATTTGTTTTACAAACTTCTTATTCGAGATTCATTTGATCAATCATCCCAGATGTTGTTGTTTTGAACATCTTTGAATAAATTGTTTAACTGATCATTGAACAAAATCTTCAGTCTTTTAGAATTTACTTACTTCAAATTGATTTCTCAGCATTAGAAATTAATACAAAAACATCAGCATTGATTCAATGTGCATCTAAGCAATCATTCAAATACGTGGTAAGATAAAAATAGGCTGATCAAAATGTTTTTAAAATTTAATACAATTTTTCTCAAATTTTTCTTATCACAATTAAAATATAGAATTCCTTAGTCAGGATTCTTTTATAAACATACATAGTTAACATGAGCTTCTAAAGCTTAAATTTCTATAAAATCAAAATGTATACGTAAAATAACAATTTTAGTTTTTTTTTTATAATTAATTAAAAACTTATGTAGTTTGATAATTTAATAAAACATTTCAAATAAATTATCTTTACTGTAGTAGTTTAAAAATATAGAAAATACTAAATAGTAGTAAAATAGGCAACATTTTTTTATAATGAAATTTTATGTAACTTGAACAAAATCGGATATTAAAAAAACAACTTTATTAAATAATCGTTATAATATAATCATTTTTAGCTATTTTATTGTATTTAAAAATTTATATTATTTACAAGGACTTGAAGCTTTTCACTATTAGATACTCCTATTTTATAAGCTTTTTGGTTTTAATTTTTAGGACCTAATTCAGAAAAGAAATACAAAGTGGTTTTATGTCTGAGTTTGTTTTTTAATGTAATATTTGTAATAAAATGGAGTGTATTTCAAACGAAAGTCCTTGCAACTCATCAATGTCAATAAATTTGGCAATGGTGTCTGTAACTTTATGTAAGGGTCTCAAATTGTTATTTAAGTCAAATAAACTAAAAAGTTACACTTTATTTACTCAACTTTAAACTTAAAAAATAATTTATCATCATTGTGCATGTCTTAATAGTAGGTAATTGTCTACTACTTCATGAAATGTTGTTTCATTCAATGCTGTTTTTATTAAACCAGATAAATTCTCTAGAAAAATAAATAAAAATAAAAATAATTAATATAATAATTTTTAAAACAATTTACATTTACTACTTTTTTTTTCAGAAAAAGGTTAATATATCATATACCTATTTAAAACATTTCATTAACAGTTAAATTAATGTCCAAAATCCAAACTCAATATTTTTTAAATCAATTTTAAAATAAAACCCTATTTAGTAATTATTTATGGTTTTAATTGAAGCATCAATACTATATTTTATATATTAACACTTTTTACTTGGATTTTTTTTTTTGTGACTTCATTTTACATAAATATAAAGAATTAAAGTTACGACCCCACCTCCTTTCCGATTTCTGTCTATGTTTTGTTATATATGTATTACACTTGTCTATATTCCAGACTCCAGTCCATTTTATCGGTAGTTTAGAGGCATATTTAGGGATGAGAATAGGAAGGTACATCAGTCACCTTGGAAATTTTTTGTATGTAAAATGTAAACTATTTTACTCTTTATTAATTTAGTTAAAAAAATAAGAATTTTTAAATTGTTTAAAAATATTGAAATAAAATATTATTTAATCATAAATACATTTTTCATAATTGAACGATAAAATTAAATTAAATATCAATATTATTGAACGAAAACTTTTCCATTCACACTAATAAAGGAAAACCAATAAATGATAAAATTTCTTAACTCACTGTTTTTACAAAACAAGTAGTTTGTTATTTTTAACTTACAAAAACAAACCATATTTTATAATATTTTATCAACATAAACAACTAAAAAAAATAATATAATATAAAATCATTAAACTTCTTTTTTTAAAAATGGTAAAGTTTTAGTTTGAAAAACATAACGAAATAAAACAAATTAGACTATAAGTATATGTTAAATGTATCAAGAATTACTTTAAGGATATCAAAATTAACAAATCCTAGTACTTTTTTTTATAATTTGAAAAATGGAAATTTTTACGCAAATCTAATATTACCTATTATTAAAACAATTATTTTGTAACTCTGATTACGTACATTATTAATCGTAAGGAATAATATTTAAAAAATATATAGATTAATTTTAAAATATTACCTACCAATTTATGCTATGAACTTATTCACACTATTTTACGGTGATATTGACTCAAAAGTTAAAAATAATTATATAATAATATGGTAATATATAAAATATATTTACCTATATTAATTTAATAACGTAAAACATTATCATGAAACTTAGTGTACTATCACAGCTATTAAATTCATATAGTGAATATGACAATTTCAACAGTTTATTAACTTTTTCAGATATCTAATTAGTGGAGAGTGTATAAAAGTAGCTTAGAAAGATGTACCTATAAATTAGTCAACATTAAATTTCAAAATATAAATTAAAGTAAATTTCATCTTTTTTAATTTTACTATATTTTCAACTTATAGCCTTGTATTCAATTTTAAGCTAAATAGAGATAATTTCAAATGTTTAAAATAAACACAAAATATTTGAAATATTATAAAAATTTTATCATATCCGTAGAAAATGCTGGAATCATTTTTTCGTTATAATTTGGAATATTTAAAATTCTTATTTTTTAAATTAGAAAAAAAAAATAGATTTATAATTGAAATATATTTTTGTGATAAATTCACTTTTGATCCTTTATTTTATTTTATTTATTCCAATTATCAAGAAGTTTACTGTAAATTATTCTTTTATATTTCCTCCCCCTCCCGAATAAAATTATGCAATTTTTAAAACATTAAAAATTTTATGTAAAAAATGAGTGCTTATCTTTTTTTTGGAAATATATAATTTATTGTTTCTAAATATTTAAAATGAAATTTAGCATATTGCAATATTGTATCACTGAGTAAATACTTTTGTATATAATGTAAATAAAAAAAGATATTTCAAAATCTATAAATAGAACAAAACTAATTTTGTAATTATATTATGTAAACACATTTATTCGAAAAGTTCGAGTGTGTTTTAAGTAATTTTGGGAGATCTGACGTAATTTTTCCTCATAGTTATATGAATATATTATTTCATTACTGTTAGATATACACACTTACGAGATTTATTTGTTTTTAATTAGAGCTTAGTTATTTTTGAAACTAATAAATTTGACTTGAATAATATTATCTAAAAATACTTAAGGTTACTTGTATTAATTACTCGTACACTTTTAAGGTATCTATTAAAATAATAGTTGAAATGACATAATACGCGTCATCTATATTTGATCATGTTAAATTTTTTTTTCGATTTTAACATATGTTTATAAATTTCTAGTTAGTTTGTTTTTCGTCAACATGGCATTGATGATGTCATCGCAAACTAATGATGTAATGTGTAAAATGCTACCAGAAACATTGAATTAAATTAAATTTAATAATTTTAACACTATACTTACCCTTATTTAGATATTTAGTGCGAAAGGATACATTTATTGATTTAATAGTGATGTGTTTATATTGTGTGCGATAACATTTTATAGAGTAGAATATTCGGTCCAATTTTCTACATTGTGGATGGTTTATGGTAGCCAATTTGATTTATTACTTTGGTGGTCAAAAATAGATAGAAAATATTAAAAGTCTACAATAAATATTGAATTTCAAAGTTTAAATATCAATTACACCTACGCATAATACACGAATAATACAGTTTAAAATATTGATACATTTTAATTAACGTTTATTATGTCGGTTTCTGTGTGGTTCAATGCTCGATAACAATCGTAGTATTGTAATAGATAATTTTAAGTACTTATAAATTATAATTATTAAAAATTTAAATATTGTATAAAGTCGTTGATAATAATAATTTTTGTATTGATATAATGTGTTATTAGTAAGATGTCACTATAATTAAATTGCATCGTTTGTTTTACGGGTCTTTCGTAATTCGGCAAATTGCACTTGCATTGCAAACGTGTTAACGTTCAACAAATATTGTTTTACTTATAATACGAATTTTACGTATACATAAACACGAGTTCAATTATAAAAGCTAATAAAATATATATATATATTTTTTATTATTCACTCTTAGTTATTAACTTCATCTATTATTTTACATTTTTACTGAAAAAATTAACATGTTTGCAAATACGTTAAAATTTAAATTAATAATTATAGCAATAATCGTTTTTATAACTTTTGAAAATACTGAGGCTACAGATACATACAACGGTAAAAATTTAACTTAGAATACTTACGTTAATCTTATGATATATTTTTCTTAATGTATACGTATTTTATTGGTTTTAAGATTTATACAACCAATAAGAACTTCTTAAGTCACCACATAATAATAATTAAAATTATTTGATGAAAAATAACAATTTCATCAGATTTTATACTAGAAATCACTCTCAAAATTTAAAATTGATGCATTTTAAAACTTTTAAAATTGATGTCAGAAATTTAAAACAAAACCAACACACATCATTGTAAAACTAAAATAAAAATACCCTATAGGTGATAGGTCGTAATATATTTTTTATGATTATTTAAAAAATTGATTAATTGGTTATTGTTATTAACTAACATCTATAAATGTTTATTGTAGAATGCATACTTAAGTATTTTGAAAACAACAAGAATATATTATAATAGCATTATTTATTTTAAAATAAAGTCTATTATGGTCTACAACGCAACCGT